AAGATTTACCACTTCAACTTCAGTGTGTATTTGGTCAACCCAGTTTTTGAACCCAGTTTTGGACGAGGCTAGGCAACGCAGATATATCTCTAAATAAGACGCTGACTGGATATTCAAGAAATCGACTTATTCACTTCGCATAGATACTTGTGCGTTATTGAACCTGGTTGACTGAACGTAAATTCATTGTCTGCAGTATGGTACTTGGACTTGAGTGCACGCAAAAGAAATTTTGATTTCACTACTTGTTCGGTGCGCTTCATTGCCGTTTTCAAAATCCAGTGATACAGGTGTTTTATGAAAATCACTGTGCTTAATGGAGCTCTTCCTGAACTAGCCGCATTATTTTTTCAATCCAAACCTGAATTCTTTTGCGTAGATATGTATATATATGGTGGATGGTCTCACGGTTCGGCTTTTACTCCTCCCTTCTATTCCCAGTCTTGCACAATCAGCCAATCAACCTTAAATGACAAATGATGTAATAAACCAAAGGGGGTACAAACTACTACAAATGGTTGTTTTCACCACTGTTTTCTCATTTTGTTGAACGTGTAGGATAAATTTTGTGTGAATTCGATCATCGAATGCGTGTAAATAGCTTTTTTCGCTACTAGAGAATGCTCCACAACGTTGGTCAGGGACGCAGAACAAATTTCCGGGTCTATTATATCCTCATCCATCTATTCCATCTCTTTCGTGCAGCGATAGGCTACACGTAGGCTGCAAAGTTTGGTAAAAACAAAGAGCATTTGATCATTTGTTCCAACATTATAAGCACAGTGAATCTCTGACTAGGTATTGGGACAAATTCCTCACGATATATCAAAACAGGTTGGGCATATCCAGCGATAGCGCAGAGTTTTGATGGAGTTCTTCAGACGCTTACCATCTTGGAACCTTGTAAAGGTTAGCACCGCCGGTCATGGAGAAGCTGCGGATTTGCCTGCCTATGTAGTGAGCTAAATTGTCTACTAGTTCATCTACGCTGTCTGCCGTCGTAAGCGAATGGGTGCCACTATCCGCCAAGCTATTACCATAAACTTGCATGTGCACCTGAAGCTAGGCTACTATTGTGAAGCCAGTCGGCCATAACAAAGTAACGAGGGTAACGTACGAACAGTGCATAGTTTGAAGCGGGCCTGCGGAACTCATTCACCAATACATTTCTGGCATTACTTCCACGTGAAGTCTTACTGTATTCCGTGGTGGTCATTCGGTTATTTTGCGTGACCCTGTCCCACATTTGGTAGTGTTCTGGCGAATATTTGACACTCTAATAAACGTCCTGCGAAAACGTGGTTTATGAAGGATAAATTACATTTGGTTTCAGGAGAGCTTGGTAAACAACCGGTAGTTTTTAATTGGACAACGTTTCGCTTTTGGCACAAAAGCTTCGTCAGGCCAAGTGAGCAGGTCACCTAATTGGCCAGGTTATAAGACAGACGGGGAAGCAGTCAGTAATTTCTCTTCAGATTATCACACTAGATCAGCGTTGAGTGTCAATTAACGGCTCTTGTCAGTTAGTATGGTTTTCAAAATCTTGGTTTTGTGGATTGGGGGGATTCAAATTAATTCTGATCCGTTTCGGTTCGTTAATCTTCCATGCGGGGTGCTTCACCCGGTTGGCACTGGTAGGTTTTCCTTGGTCTTTGTGCGGTTGTGAGTGCTCCGACATTTTGGTTTGAGGGGGGTTGAGGTCAAGTGGAATTCGAATACTGACCACTCTTCCTTCTAATAATCGCACACCAACACGTGTCAAGCTCGACTGACCCAAACCTGCTCACAGAATAAGTAACACTGTTTTAATGTTGACCGGTAAAGAAATCTTCATTGAAAGGCTCTATATCATGTAGGTATGACTGTTTGTCGGACTGGAATCTAGCAAACGTCTGTGAGGTTAAAAAATTTCACTCTGCACATAAGGCAAAAAGCTCAGTAAATTTCATCTCATACTTTCAGGCACGGAAAGCGGTAGTTGAATTTCCAAAACATGTGTTTTACGTTCGCCTGGATGATATAGATCAAAGTCACTAGGTATTGGAAGGCGGACTCCATCTTGCTAGACGTATTTCATAACGCACGCATGCACCTTTGTGTAAAGTGGAGTGAGGCTATTTCAAAAAGCAAATAAGTCACGCTCGAGCTTCCGGGCCTTGTTTCATTTTGGTCCGTAATTATCACTTGTCGTGAACCATATACTAACCACAGTAATTAATATGTTCTCCGCGATGTTACTCTGCCGTATGAAACAGCTTTTCACAGCCACCGATGTGACCCTACAATGCTAACTGTATAAACTTCCAACTGTCCAAGAGGATCAATGAAGGATCAATGAACCGGACTGGGGTCCTGTTTGAATGAAGTAAAGGGGTTCTGTAAAGTGTGAATCAAAAAATAGATACTGCTACGGCCGAATATGCATACCGAGAAATTTCGTCTGCCGACGCCTGATGTGATCTGATCGACAGGTTTGACCACAAGTAAAAGCAAACGATTTGGTCGCAGGAACTATTGACCCAGTCAACTTCTAGAGAATGTGATAACCATTCATGGGAATAAGAGTATAACCCAAATGCGCGTGTTTTCAGATGGAAACTCATCACACAAGGATCAGAAGGCAAATTCAAAAGTGTTTACGGGAGAAGACTAATCTCAACAAATCCATTGCCAAATTAGTTTAAATCCACTCCTTATAATTCATGAAAAAATCTCCAGACAGACCACTTTGTCCCAAATATTATTGTGGAAATGGGTTTCCAAAGCGTTTGGCTCTATTTGTTTGATTGACCAATGGCTACGCTTCTTCGCATTATTGGCTGCTGTGTCGGTTCTTGGTTGTGCGCTTTGACTGCCCAGCATAGCCCATTGAGCAAGGGCGACAACAATTGTGCAGAAAAACAATAAGCAAACATCAGAAATCAGACAGCGGGCTGCAAGTAACCGAAGCATATCACGTGCCACTGTAAGCGTGTTCCATGTGTGGCTATAGGTGACAATACATAAGATGTTCTTTCGCAAAATACCCTCTGTTAATTGATTTTTGGGTCATCAAGAAGGTCGCTGAGAGCTAAGTAAAAAGGAATCATGTCCACCAATGGATAAGGAGTTCCATTACCAGTCATCCGTATTCGCTTAGTAGCAGGGGTTGGGTAACTTTCCTTAAACCTGTGAGTAACGTCGGCTGTAAAGATTATGCTTTTCAATGTCTTGAACGTTCGCCTAACTTGCCCAACTTGAACGAATAACAGGTAATTTGATGCATGCAGGGGAAAACTCCATAACTTCGATTCAATTTAAGTTGAGGTCTCATCAAACAACGGTCGATTTTTGATGTGCCAAAACAGAGGAGAGCTCACATCTCTTGATGTGACGGCCTGAATGAGAACCCTCTTTACCGTAACTTTGTTGTTCCCTTAAGATTTGCAATGTTTTCTAATCCGGATGCATCGCACCCGAGTAGCTCTTACAGCAGATTCCTTCTGCTAGACTCAAAGCAGTTCTGATTGCTCCGTCCACAGACTGTACTACTTTGCGGACCGCATTTCTCTTATTTAACTGTTCAATCGGTTACCTTCTATTTTTGTCGGCTTTTTCTTTTTCAATTTGCTTATTCTCAATTTTCATTGCGTAGCAGCTTCATTTTCTTGAGCTGTGTTCCCTGGTTGCGATTCGTCGTCATCCTTTTCGTGAGGGCTGGTCTCCGCATTTAAGTGGTTAATCAGATAGCGTTTGTGCTCCTCTTGGTCTTTTGATCTATCGCTCGGAGATATCTTCCAGTAGACCTAATGACCTGAACTTGTAAGTGTTTACTTGACACTCTAGTAACAAGAACAAACAGAAATTTCCGTTTTCTACAGTTTTTTTTTCAACTGTGAATCGGATGTATCTAGAAACATCGTTTGATAGCTGGCTTATCTAGTCCATTTCCCATTTTCGATAATGATGAGAATGGCTTCTACAGTTTTTTCAACTGTGAATCGGATGTATCTAGAAACATCGTTTGATAGCTGGCTTATCTAGTCCATTTCCCATTTTCGATAATGATGAGAATGGCTTTCACGTCATTCATCTTTTGGGGTTTACATCAGCCAGCACCATTCTCCTTACCTCTAACTTCGACTTACTTGACAAATCCTGAAACTGGCGACCCAACCGATGCTACTTACAGCTGTTATGGACCACAGCTGTAAACAATGAGCTATTATTGAATGAAACCATTATTTCGTCCTCGTTGATATGCACTTCACCTTCCCTGAGAATTACTAGGAATTTTCGGCTGATTGTTGGGATATGCCAGGGACTTATTTGAACTTTCTTCACAGTTATCTTGACAGATCGTAAACTGCGTCCCCCGAAGAGGCATCATTGATTGGACAGGAGGTAAACTCCTATACGCCGTTGGGAGTCCAAAACAGCCACGTTGTGAGCTCTTACTTTCCGTTGTTGTTTCGTAATTCAGTGGGGAAAAGATGTGGTTTATTCTGTTGCACATGAATTCTGGAACAATATTTGGTGCATTTCACTGAAATTCTTGTGCGTTTGACGAATTTCACCACTGATTTGAGACCGGCTCATTGCTATGGCGTGGCGTCTTTGAAGTTAAGGTGCTAAAAACGCTTGGTGCTTCCTCCGAAAGATGGCTCCTGGAAAGATTATTTATCTGAGAATCGTTGTGATCATTTTTGCTCTTCTGGTCGGAAGTCACGAGGAAAAATCAAAGTAATCAAGATAAAACATCTGTCAAAAATAGAACTTGTCTGGATGAGCAGCCAAGTTGGAGACAGTGCACAGCAAAGCACAGTTGAAAACAGATTAATCAGGATGCCTAAGTGAAGCCATTCCAGTTGAATTCAATTTAAGTGAACCACACATCTGCACAATCGTAAGGGGACCAATGAATTTCTGATGAGAATGTTGAAATTCAGGTAGTCACATCAAGACACGTGAATTGTTCTTTTATACAATTTAAAAAGGCATCCGATAAAGGAGAATCACGCTACCAATCGCGCATTGATTATATCCTCAGGATTTGTAAAGACAAAGCGGGATAACCATGTTTTCAAGGCACAGAATGCCATCGGTGACCTCATAACTATCATCACCATCATATACCGGGTACCTCGGAACCGATCACGACTGGTACTATCCAAGCTACTATCGATCACAGAAGCGATTGGAATCCGACTGCTGGATCCGCAAATTTGCATCCAAAAGAAACTTGTGCAACCTCTGAACTTGAACTGGCCTACGAAACATTCGGTCCCACAACTCCGTCTGACATTGATGTCACTTACCTGATTCCGTGACCCATTGACCTCTCCCTCATCCAACCTTCTTTTGATTTCTGTTTCTCTAAAGTGTATGTAGCCCCAATCTTAACATTTTCCACGTGATCTCTGCTACCATATAAATTTTTGATGTATTAGCCAAGATAAACAATCACAGAAAACAAGCTTTGTTCGCTACCTTCTTCGTTCTCACATCGTGGTATATTTCAGCCTCCAGTTCCCCTTTTTTCAAAGAGATAGCGGCTGACACCCATGTAAAAGTTTAATCAAAATCAAATATGGGTCATGAGGGTGTTTCCTTTCCGTGAATATCTTCACACAGCTCCGCTGATTATGGTCGTACATGAAAAGAACCAGTGTGGACAGTCTACTGATAACGAAAGTTTGATTCAAAACCAACTGGGTACTCAATCGTGTGTCACTCATTTTTGGACACATCTCAGAATTGACACAATTGTATTTTCAAAACAGGTCTGTAATAAGTACCATAATGAGTTGTACATCAATATGAAGAAAAAGCAATATTTCATAAAACAATTTTACAAGGCACCAGTGGAAGGTCGTCTAGTATCCATACATAATTTCGCAAGTAATTGCTCTTAGGATGTTGTGGGATTTTTCTATGAATCATTATCTAATCCAAATTGATGAGTTGGCAATATTAATTCCATAAATTTACAACGTTTACCTATGCACTGTATCAAACCCTGAAAAAAATGTCAGTTGATTCAGCCTGGTTTGTAACTTTGTTGATGAGCGCCAACTGTCTGCATCCCGACTGTTTTGATCTGAAGAAGAAGAAACAAATTTTCGCCACTTAGATTAAAATGATTATAAAACTCATGGGCGTTTGTAATAAGAACATTAAGTGAAAAGTTTGGTTGATTACGGCGTATGGACACTTTGCAAACTTGCAGGGAGTAGCGATCAAAATCATCATTCACCCAAATTCAGAAACCGAATTAAGTGCTTGAACTTTCCCGTTGCTGCGAGACGTAGGATCAATGCCCACAAGTAAACAGAAGTAGGCTGAAAACAAAGCCGTTCAGATGGAACCTTCAAAGCAGTGAATTCCTGTGCACTAATCTTCCTACCAGTATTTTTCACTAATGAGACTATGCAGGTTCGGCAGTACCAATAAGGGCTGTAGTTCCTGGCTTAGGAATTAGTGTTTTTTGAGACGGTGCTTTGTGGGTGAGATGAAATCGTAAATTTTCTCCTTTACAGGATGCAAGGACTCAGCAACATTCCAGCAGTTTCTTATATTCCAGCCACACACAAGGTATATTTGGGTTCCAAAATATCAGTTTAACATTGTGACTTATATTTTCTGAATGCCATGGAGTGGAGAAGTGACTGAGCTTTACACCGGCAAGTGTAATCAATCAAAACCGCCCCAGAAAGGAAAACCATGCAGAAAAATCAGAGATAAAAGTCCTATCGAGTGTTTGGGTTGCAGAGAAAGTTACTATATGAATTTTGTGGCTGATCACTTCTTATCGACCTTTTTTGGAAACATTTCCTCAGGAGGAGGCCAAATCCAACTACCAGTCTGCTTGTTGCCAGACTAGCGCCAATATAATATCTTGAGTGATGCACTCAGGTATTACGGGAAGACCATAATACTCACGAGTGTCAACATTATGCTTCAGGCGTCTCACCTTGGTAGGATCATCTAATTGTGTCATCACACGCATAATAACGATGCTCGTGAGTACTGCAGTATAGAGTAAACAGTTTTCGGCATTCATGAAAGCTCCGTAGATAACTACTCGAGAGCTATCCGATGGGGCTACCACACACATGGTTTCACGCAGTTAAGTCGCATTTGACAGCATGAAAACCTGCCTACATAAATCACTGAATAAATCCAGCTGAGTTATTCGCCTCAACCAATTGCTTCAAAACCTGTTCGTAGATAACTCTCGAGAGCTATCCGATGGGGCTACCACACAAATGGTTTCACGCAGTTAAGTCGCATTTGACAGCATGAAAACCTGCCTACATAAATCACTGAATAAATCCAGCTGAGTTATTCGCCTCAACCAATTGCTTCAAAACCTGTTCAGCAAACAGCACCCTAGAGCACACTAGTACTCGATCATAGCAACCAACAGCAGACATGTCTCCCACCTCGGCCAACTGGACTGAACTTAAAATAAATCCTGACTGGATGACTGAATCACAGTAATTTTGCTGAAGGCTTCACCCAGTAAACTATTTTTTAATGCTAATAGTCCATCTGCTTATTCCAATACTTACCTTCACGTAGCCGTCAAGAATATTGGGTACATATGTTCAAAATTCATGTTATTTCGTACAGACGTAATGCATTATTCGTGTAATTTCATTGACTCACTACATTCCAGGACAAGATTATGACGATACAAAATGCAACGCTTCCAGCTAATTATGTAACAGCCAAAATCATGTAAGATCCCTTGACGTAATCTTGTCGCGGTATCCGCGTATCGTATTTCATTGATAATCTTATAAACTTCTTCCATTGGTAGTCATGCATTGCAATACAGCATATTCGTGAAAAGAAAACGGCGTTTTACTTTGACAATCAACCCATCTATTGCTTCAGTTTCTATGATATATCGTGAGCAGATTTCATTTAGCAACTTCAACTGGTGAACAAAAAACGAGAGTTCTAGAACTCCAGCTTGAGTGAGCATAGTACAACTCCTACGCAGGCTAGGAGCAGTTGGATTATTAATTTTGTATGAGCCAAATGATCAACTTTGGGCTAGGTGATGAACTTGTTCAATGTGACGATCGTCTGCCAAAATTAGCTAATTCTCACAACAACGCGTCCCATACTGTAACCGGTTACACGCAACCCTTGAAACCCACCAATGTGCCTTTCTGAAACCACATGTGGGCTTTGAGATTTGCATGCACGCAAACCACGTACAAAAGGATTATCTAGGTCAGCTTTTCATGTAGTTTGCACTTCTCGCTGTTCTCTACGTATCGTCCGCATATTTCAGGTCAATAAGGTACTCAACTGGAGAGTCACAAATTCCTGAGACCTTTCAGTGGTCACCTCATCATCTCAGCAATAACGAAATCTAAAAAAATGGAGAGAGTGGACATCATTGTCGGGAGCAACTATCCGCAGGAAAGTGGGTTGGAGATCTCACCATACACTCTCACGTGCCCAGAGGCATCTCAGTGAAAACACCGCATGAGATTCAACGAATTATGGGGTGTACCATTTTGCGCAAGCGCGTTGAGAAAAATTAGCCAGTCGGTAGGTTCGAATGCACCCTTGAAGTCGAACACCACGCATGTTTTTGCCCTAGTACTTGACGGACTGTGAAGATGTGACCCCCACAGGCTCTCTCGACCGGAATTTAACTTACTTTTCTCGGGTCCCTTCTTCATGCATCTCTTTAACATGACAGAAGGTCACCGATGCGAAGTTCCGGTTACGACGGGGCCAAGATAGTTTCTCTGCGATTGTCGTACCCACCGCGAGCACCAAGTTTGCTCCACCTAAATTCTTTCGGACCTGCTTTTTCGCGCAGGTAGGGGCAAATAAGTTGGACAAGTACCGACTGATGATTTGACCTCCATGTTTAAACAGTGGGTGGGATTTCATCATGACAAGAAGCTCGGTGACACTTGAGAGATGAATGGGATTCGCTTATTTCGGAAGCCGTCGGGAGTTCCTAGTTCACAGTTCAGGGCTGTGTTGCGAGTTGGGAAACAGGCTCGGCGATTGCAGTCGGTCAGCTGAATTGTTCTCGGAAGCGTTCGAACTAACGGTTCACGTGCTGTTCTTCTTTGAATATAGGCCAGCCTCTCTTATAGAGTATTGTTTAGCTCACTGGATGCTTTCATGGGCATCTTTCGTGTATCAGGTGCAAAAGATTATCACGAGAGGAATAGGTGTCTGCACTTCTAGCAGTTTTGGAGAGATTCACTAATTAGGTCTGGATTAGCTGGACTACTCTGCAAGCGCAATGACCAGCATCTTGCAGGGATGTGGACAGTACCTTACAGTAGCAATCAACATGTTATCCAAAAATGGATTCAATATGACGTTTTAAATACTTGTTTCACATCAGGATCGGAGATTTTTCCAGTATAATGAAATGTGTGGGAACTTAGTGCACACTGAAAAGCGCAACGAAACGCCACCGAACAAGTGCGTAATCCACTGGTTTTCGAGAACAGTCGATAGTCAGTAAAAGACCCATATCTATATTTGATGACGATGAGGTCTATTTTTGTTGGAGGTCGTGCTGCATTCGAGGGTACTATGTGACCAAGCAGACTCGGATGTTCGACCAGTTTGTACCGTAGTCAAAAAATCTGTGGTATGTTCACAACTACAGCCGGCTTACGTCCCCATCCGCGCGGTTCTGTGCGGTTCCAAAACAACTACCCCTTTGAACCTCAACACCGCTAAGTTTGTCTACTCGGCATTCATACCCCCGGCGATCACAGTAATATATGATCTCCTAGCCCCTCGCTGTCATAAAAGCTATCATTAGGTGTATCAAGGGCGTAAGAAGGTGCGACGAACAACCAGTGATTGCCAATGCTTTTAAGAGACACTCTAAAAGACTTTTTCAGATGAAGCGCACAGAGGCAACTATCCACAGCATTGGACCAAAGGCCCCTCAGCTCGGTGATTTGGAACAACAACAACTCAGAAAGGACCAGCCGCAATGGCTTTCGGATCGTCAGTGGTGGTCAACCAGAAGCAAGAGGATTTCGGCTGGGAGGCGTAATAGGGTTTCAAATCCTCGTTTCAGACAGACGGCACATGAATAGAAAGCGGATTGAGCGTAATGCAAGAGCACTCTGTTGTTCAGCTTTCAACAGAGTTCGAAAGGCGAGCGCTGTCAAATGAACTGAGTGCCAGGGGTTGATAGAAGATTTTGATATATATAAGGTCGTTGAGATCAAGTCAAACTTGAATAACTCGGTTAATGCCAGTGGGCATCGAACTTACGTGTCAATCTTTAGGTTTGAGCCTACAAATGTATCGCTAGCAACGGGATAAGAAACGGAGAAGAACGATTAGCTGGAAAAGAAAGGACGGAGGCGTCAGCAGTTGCCTGATTTTGTTTGCCCCCAACTCTGCTGTGTGCGACAAGTAATGCGACCCGGAACCACGAAACAGCCGATGTGGCACGAATTTATTAGTGTGTGAAACCCATGGTTGTACGTGGGCTGTGATACTGCCGGGACACCCACACATAGACAAGAGGACGGTTAGAGTCAAAATCAAATCGATCAATCGTTCAGCTGTGGCGCGCGTTTGTTTTTTGTTTGGTGTTTGTTTTTACCATACTACAATTATTCTTTATTGCTGCTACTACACTGCTGACCTGTTTACATGTTTGCTACATCGGCAACCGAGATGAAATTAACAGAAATATTAAAAGATTACCAACTTGCTGTTCACATACTGAAGAGTGAAAATATATTTTTACGACCTAAATGATGAAACGGCATCTGTACAAGACTACGAGGTGAGAACAAGAAAGAGGATTCTAATCCAGATAGTTGAAACAAAAGTTGATAGAGATATCCACCAGACCGGCTGAATCTAGTTTGAGTTTGGATTAGAATAGTCTTAATTGTACGTCACTTCACTCGATAATTCAGTTGATGACCATTTGTAGCTTATTATTAAAATTGACCAAGAATATATTTCCAAGATTTGGTAGATAATACATAACGCTGTACACAAAGCGACATAAAAATGAACACAACGTGTCAATAAACTGAAGTGTCTCTTTGTAATGTACTACTCATAAGGTTGCTGAAAATCCATCGACAGCCCACGACCGGTTTCGCCCTTCTTGGGGCTCATCAGGTAGGTGCAGTCCCCGGGTTTCCGTCAACCTTATGTTCTACTTGAAACCAAATTGCACGAAATTAGCGAATATCTACTCATTTGCAAACTAATTTGGTTCTTTCAAGAGACTCACCTGGAACCCAGCTGAATCTCTCGTTTATGATGTTCTCAGGCAACTGAATGTGCTGCACCAGGCCGCCTCGTGTTTCAGTCGCTACGATATTTGAAATATTGCGATACATGTATCTCTTTGTAATGTGCAAGTTGGTTTCAAGTAGAACATAAGGTTGTCGGAAACCCGGGGGCTGCGCCTACCTGATGAGCCCCAAGAAGGGCGAAACCGGTCGTGGGCTGTCGATGGATTTTCAGCAACCTTATGAGTAGTACATTACAAAGAGACACTTCAGTTTATTGACACGTTGTGTTCATTTTTATGTCGCTTTGTGTACAGCGTTATGTATTATCTACCAAAATCTTGGAATATATTCTTAGTCAATTTTAATAATAAGCTACAAATGGTCATCAACTGAATTATCGAGTGAAGTGACGTACAATTAAGACTATTCTAATCTCAATGAACTCAGTGGGTTGCTGCTCTTCTCTGGTCTTCGTTTATTCACTTCCAATGGTGGGATATACACAGCCCTAGTTGGAAGTGAATCAGAACGATGCGAATCGTTCCAAGATTCACGACTGCGATAACCGTAAAATTCATTTGGAAAACTTCTCAACTGCCTCCCTGTTCGAATTGAGGTCAGGTCTGCACCCTCCTCGTGCAGTTCAAGATTGGAAAATTCACTATCCAGAGAGTCCTTCCTTCCAATTGACTGAGGTTTATCCGAAGAGTACGGAAGATTGGAGCACGTCCTGTCGCTTTGTGACGGTGAATTTTTCGTGCTTAGTGAGTGTCGCATGGTTTTTGAACGTTTTCGAACTAGACCGCTCAGTCGATAACCACGCTTGATTTTACCGAAGTCTGTCTCACTCCATCCGGCCTGAAAACAGAGGTGCATAGATCAATAGGTAGAACAACGAAGAACAATATCGTACAAGTGGCAAGACGATCAGAATCGAACTGACCAATATACTTGCAAAATGTCGATGGTTATACATCAAAATACACGTCCGTCTTCATCAAGCCTAGTGTCCGGGAGAGCCAACCAAGACTGACCTCTTCTGAAAACTGCATTTCCGGGGAAAGGCAGTCATTTCAATATTAGTTTCCCCCTCTAGGTCATTTAGCTGATCTGCCCTAGAGTTGGTTACTAGGGGAGGACCTATATTAGGCTTTACTGGATAGTCCGGCTTCATTGACTCTCCGCTCAATTTCACCATGCTGAGAACGCGTCAAGTCTTTTCCTGTACTAGCAGGAAATTTCCCGATGGTCTTTTTGGGATATTCGCTTCAGGGCTGACTCACCTTCAGACTCACCTGGAACCCAGCTGAATCTCTCGTTTATGATGCTCTCAGGCAACTGAATGTGCTGCACCAGGCCGCCTCATGTTTCAGTCGCTACGATATCTAAATATCGCGACACACGTATATTTGTAATGTACTCAAGGTTGACCGAAACCCGGGGACTGCGCCTACCTGATGAGCCCCGAAAAGAGCGAAACCGGCCGCGGGCTGTGGTAGATTATCAGTAACCCTATGAGTAGTACATTACAAATAAATAAGTGCTGTCTGTCTATGCCGCAAAAACTCCTGCTAAAATGTTGCAAACCAGAACTCCACTCGTGAATTTTCCCTATTGTCCTAAAGAGATTTTCAAGTGACTTGGGGCTGCGGTACTCTAGTCATGGTAGCTTGACTTCTCCGAGGTTGGTCGAGATTTAAGACGGGAGGAGAACCAATCAGCTAAGTCAAGCCAGATCTCTGTTTGGTGTCGGCTAAGAGATTTGTGCGTTAGGGTGGGTGAACAAGTGTTGGGCCGATGGGGTAACGTACATGTGCTTGGGTTTAGCCTAGGGTCTAGTTCCTCTAGTTCGGTTCATTTGATAGTCCCTCTTGAACGTCGTTTGAACTTGCTGTCCGTCTGCGTGGATGAGCTAGTGCTAAGATGTGTTAGAGGGATGCTGTGACTTTTGGTCTGGTTGGGATTTCTACCCCACCCCCCAGTTTTCGCTAATGATTCTGCGTGGATTGACAACCACACAGTCACGTGTCAACCCGGCTTAACTAAGATTGCTTTCCATACGCTCACCAGTTGCACATCGTCGGTTCTATTCACGCTGCGATGCTTGGTAATTTTCACCATCTCGGTAATCAGCCGCTGTGGTGTGAATCTCAGTCCCCGTCTTAAAACTTCCACATTCTCCAGATCTATTCTATGTCCCGTGTATAAGGCATGTACCGCCATTGCTGAGTCTTTGACCAACGTTTGGTATTCTTCTGCATTCCTTGTTGGTTTGTTTATCGCGTCAGTCGTTTACACACGGATGGGGACATTCTAACGGTCGGACAGGCTGGTAGATGCACGTCGTCCCACCGATTAACAGAGATTTTGACTAGTCATGAGTGAATCTACTTGCAACATTGATTATTTTGCTCTGTACTTTGTTGGTTTACTGCTATTAAGGAAGTCTTTTTTAAATTAACCCATGTTCATGGGCGTTAGGCGTAAATCTTTTAAAAGGAAGTTTGGTCTCCTAATCGGTCCTTTTTACCTAAGGCCAAATGGACCACAATGGCAAACTTTAACTTCCCAAAACATCCTGGTAATTGCTGTCATCTCAGACGCAGAATAGACCCTTTTTCAACAAGTCTATCAAGAGGCAATTGCCCAACCGGAGACAGCTGGTCTGGGTGTTCCTGTTGTAGATAAAATTTTAAATCACCTAATAAAGAAATCGGGTAAAGTTTTCTTCTTTTCTAATATTTAGAATGCATAATTTTTGGATTCCAGCTGAGCCTTTAACAAGTTGCGGATCACCGGGGAGGAAGATCTGTCTTGGTTTTGGCTGGACACTGTTTCCTATTATTATTACGTGCAAGGTGTAGTTCGTATTCCTTTGGTTATTAGACTGAGGCTTCAACTGAAATGTCAAATTATGGATGAACGATCTGCCATCTCATCAACCTCAACTAGTGTGAAGTACAGCACTGGAAGATGACCAGATTCGGTTCTGAAAAATCTACAAAAACACCCAGCAGATATGCATCAATTTTCCATTTCTTGTGAGTATTAGGTGACGTGTTATTTTGTCGCCAAATAGGACCCATTGAACTGCACAATAATAGTTGTAGTTAATAAATAAAACACGCACTGACTGCCTCGCAGTCTGTAACGTCTGTGACATTACTAGTGCCAAGTGAGTTTTTGTAGAAAAACAGCATTCCACAGGGTTCACTCTAGCTGAGCGAACTTATTTTTTTCAAGTTTCGATCTCTTTCAAGAGCGTAAACCAGCATAATAACGCCGAAAACTAAAAAGTCCAATTTGAATTTTATATCCAGAATATAATGTTAGTTCCATAACTAAATATGCTCTTAGCGAAGAAAATGGTTCAAACGTTTCCGAACAGTGTTCTGGAGCAGTTGGCCTCATGATGTTGCTCTACAAACAGTTGTGCAAACCTATGGGTAACCCAATCCGGTGTTCATTTGCTATTCGCATAGTATCGCAGCGTTAACTCCTAGTGTCAGTCAGATTATGACTTACCACAGAAGAGCAGCTATCTTAAAGTTGTGGCATTTTCACATGCTTTCTTTCACCTTTCAAAAGCTTTATTGCTTGTGGCCCCAACTGACAAAGAGCACGTCATTTAGGTTCCTGTAGGCGTTCCGGCCAGACGAGTCCACTGTTTGGTTCCCTGGACAGGATGACTTGATTGTAAGAGTCTCCTCACCAGTCAGTGCAGCATCAATATTGTGTCGTTGTGTAGCGAAATGTTATCTAGCATCCACCCACTTTTGCCACACGACAGCCCCTTGCGACTGTTGATGAAACGTTCGCAATGGTACTACCATGCACCAAAAATAACATTAGTAATGAGGGCACCAAATTTATTTTTGATTCATATTAAGTTTTCGAGATTGCTAAACAATTAAAGGCGAAAAATCGAAACGAAGTATGCAGAAATTTGTCCAGCAAGCGCTCACTTTTCAGCACCTGCTGAGTTACGCTAATGCATATGCTAGCCATCATGAACTAGGCACAGGTTGAACAAGAAACAGCCAAGTGACATTACACTTACCAGTTTGTAAATCGGTCTAAGTTCAACAAACGACCATAATAGTTCCAGGAGTTGATGCGCGAGTTGGTTGACTCGTTCTACTGAAGTATGATCAGCGAGTGTCTCAGTGGAGTGTCGCTGGTAGGCGTCACTCGTATTGCACAGAATTTCTTGACACGTCTCCACACCTCCCAAAGTTACGAATCGTCTGTTGGAAAAGGAACGAGGGAATTCTCGTTTCAGACATGGTGAGATGAAGACCCATTTCTGGTGCCCTTTACCTAAATACTAACTCACAACTGTACCTCAACTTCATTTATGACCAATCCGATGCCTGACTTGATCACCAACTCTGATAAAGTTAACCGGGAAGTGAAGCTTGACTCAACCAGTGTAGCGTCAGACTCTAACCAATATTGGTCTTCTATTGTCAATGACTGTCAGCCCTTGGGTCTGATTGCCTGATTTCAGGAAGGCTGCAAAAATGTATCTGCAATTAAGCGATTGATAGCAGAACGAAAATTGTCGGGTGCACTCGGAAGACAAAATATTATAAGCTTCCTTCTTATATTCTTACATCAGAGCCGATTATATCCGCAACGGTCATTTTTGTGACACCCGGCTGTACACAAGTTCTGTCGCAAAAAGAGCGTTATTATGTCTTATTATGCGCAATATATGTTGTTTCATCAATGATCTATGATGTTATGTTATGTTATGTGGAAAAAAATCAGCTTTACATAATCGCACATGTCACATGATGTGGATCGCTGCACTACTCAAGAGTTAGCAAGTAACCTGAAGAGTGTTCAAAATAGGTTTCCCAAAATAATATTTCGGTCAGCGTAAGCACGCTCCAGTTGAACGAACACGATCAAAAAATCTAATTATACTATTTCAGAGCCACCAATGTTTCTCTTCTCAAAGTTCCTACTTCAGATACGTTATTGAAATTATCTGTGGATATCATGGTGCATTAGAATTCCAACGGAGCTTATAAACAAATTAGTTGGTTAGTTGAAGGCCAAAAGTTGAGAGGTAAGGTAAGCGCTTCAGGAAAAATGTGAAGTCTTCTTCTCGGTCAGTGCCCCTTGGCTACGTGGATGTCTCTCAACCCATCCGCCAAGGCCTTCTTAAAACTGCCCGTCTTTCGCCTTCCGGGTAGCCTGTGCTACTGACCCTCATACAGGAAGTGGAAGATGTATATTTATAAATCTTACACAACCAAAATGCGTCCAGAATCTTACCTTGCATGTTGTAGTTTCCCACGTACTAGTACATAACACAAACCCAGGAGTGCTGTGGCAACCGATCGAGCTGAGTAAACTGATTGTGTTTGAGAGGAGGAAAGTGTCTGACTGAGCCGCAAGAGCGAACCGGAACGGGTGCTAGTAGGAACCATCCATTCACCGCCATTCGGATGTCGTTCCGCGACTGTTTGTGACAGTAATGAGTTAGCGCATTCACCGAGAGCGGTCAGTATTCGCACCAGAGCATGCTTCCCTAACAGCAAGCAGCTCTCTTCTTCCAAAGCCAAATTGCGCAGCGCATTGGCTGCTGCAGTGGAAACTCGCCGTGTAGGAGCACTGATCAGGTCAACGAGGATGGGTAAACTTTGAAGATTTCGGACCTTACAGACGTGCGTAGGAATAAACAAAGGATTTATTTAAATTTGGAGCGACTTACGACAAAAAGTACTGCAGGAGAATTGCTATATCTGAAAGGCGGAGATCATGGTAAATGGCAATGTTCTATCTAACCTGAAAATTATCTCTGGTCAGACAATTCTGGCAAAAACATTCAGCCAAAAAATATGCCAGAGTTGACATTTCAGGTTTTTCGCCGTTTACATTTCTTTTGGTTACAATCAGTCTGGAATTTGTTCTCCTCGTGATCATTCCTTTTGGCATTTCAGTTTAAATTGTTCCTTTTTCTTGTAGAAATCCACGGTTTGTACAAGCTCAGCAATAGGACGGAATCGCGAAGTAACCTTTGGGATAAATGTTGCCTAAATGTGTAAAGAAACACTTAACTGCGTCTGTCAAAACCAACGTTATCGGTCTCAGCCAAACGCTCAACAGAAAGAGTAAACATTCAAGGGCTAAGTCCTCGGTGACTGGACATCAGTCGATCACTGAACACAATATGGCTTCTTCTTATCCCAAGGTTGTGTCTCAAGTAAACTATACTAGTTCCAGATTATTGTAAGATTTCGGTATTTCCTCGATAAACTGACCATTCAGATGTGTCCCTCACAACATACTACTTTCAGTTAAATTTTTGGAGTAAATTTTACTGTCAAAACTACCCTCATAATTCACCTTCTAAGAGAATGGGCCAATTCTGGCCAGTTCCATGAGATTATTTCTGTTTTAGAGTAACAATTCATTTTTAAGGGCTACATGTGGGTGATTTCATCCTGCACCTGCTTTCACGTGATTTGGCGATAACATTTTAATTCCTTTAATTGTTTTCTGAAATATATCGTTAAGCCCATTATGTGCAGCCAATAGCCAGCAACAAATTTTATCGATCACTGTTTCCATCATTTTCCACAATTTTTACCGGCACACATTCATTCATGATAGTATCAAAATATATCCCGCATCAAGCCTATATCCCATCTCCCCAGGAAACGGACCACTCTCAATTTGCATTCAGCACTGATGATTGACTAGCAAGTTACATTTAAGAAAGATGTGTAGGCTGCACTCACCGTTTTTCGGACGATTGGACCTGTCAAGACACCACCTGCTGTTAAATTCTGAATTGTTCCCGCAGCCGCCTCTAAGGTGCATGGATTCGAACTGGACTGAAGGAGATCAACAAGCATTTGAATAGTCCCTGTTTGATAAAGCAGGTTTAATACACTCTTCGGAGGGAAGGGATCCAGTCCATCGGGAGCAGTTTCTGCGACGAAACACAGCAAGGTAAATCATAATATAGTTTGATTAGAAGGACTTAGATCATAACAAATTAGTTCATCATAATTTGTGACAGAACATTATCTGACTAAGTTGACAATTTTACCTTTAACATTAGTAGGCTCCAAGATCTCAGAAAACAAGCTCTCTTCATCCGTATTATGCGAATTAAGACAATGAATCGATCTGATTCGCATTTGTTTGCACAGATGCTTATGTACATAATGGCTTTTTTGTGGATAAACTTAGATAAAGATTCCTAGACAGAAGATGAGATGAGAACTATCTGGACAAATACGATATAAATCCCTTGAAAGCTGCATCAGTGGGTATCGGTAATCAGTAGTCGTGATTAATGAAAAACGCACTGCCACTAGTCCACTTTGCACTAAAAAGTGTTCGATCATGTGTAATTTGAGAAACGCGATCAATATTATTGGTCGTTATGCTCACGAAATAATCTCTCAAAAGAATAAATTATTTTCGCGATGCAGTTTGTGAAGTGCAGAAACTATTTTTGGAATATCCAGTTCACAGTTCATGCTTACTGGGTTAATCTTCTTACAATCAACCTCAAGCTTACCCAGGCAATACGAACAACCATGAAAGACCTAACTTCATTCAAATTCCCCATCGATCCAGGGAGCCATATCCTCGGCCATGCTGGGTTTTGAACTCTGGACATCTGACATGTGAGGTGAGGGCCTTTACCAGTACCTCGCCAGAGCGTGCAGGAGGAATCTACAATCCATCGGAAATTGTTCAACAGGTTGCAGGCGCTATATGACGCATGAGAGGTCATGATAGGTAGCTTAATCGATCGACACAAGCAGGACATTTACTGGGTCTTTGGTTGAGGCGTCGGGTAAATCAGTCACGTGGCTAGAGTGTGAGCATGTTTGCCCGTGCAAGCGACAATTTCGCTAGGTCCAGAAACGCTCAGGTTGGGTGGTGGCAACAAGCTTGCCCTGTATTTCAGTCGTCTTTAGTTCAAAACTGTCACAGCCAGGGCTGTGCACTGCTAATGAGATCTAATAAGAGCGAAACTCGAATCCGGGTCTCCCTCTTCTTAATGCGAACTCACCAGAATTGCATTAAAATACGGGGAGAACTTTTCAAACAGAAGTGAAGTGGGTGTGGATTCGGCAGATCCACTTACCATCTACAAAGGAAAACATCTATACAGCCGCGGTTTATACCATTCACCGTTTAAGTACCGCAGTCTCCTGAAGTTTAAGCTTATAGGTGTGCCCCTTAGTATTCCAAGGGGGCTTCGTACGCTGGGTGCTTGTAATCATAGGCTGGCACATAACATACACCAAGAATCTTCAGACCTTTAACCACATTAAGCATACAACGGGAGTAAGTGATCCATGTACGCTCACGTGATCAGTGCAAACACAAGTGTATATACAGCTTGACACCAACTAAAACATACGCCACTTTACACGTAATACACTACTCATAAAGCTGCTGAAAACTCCTTGAGAACCAATTTCACAGCTTATGGCATGTTCAGCACTGAATAATCTTCAAGGGTTCATATAAGTAACCTAACAAATACGACTTACCTGTTTCTGAATATGACCTGGCTTTTAAGCTGGAATTCTTACTCCTGAATAGTTTTATCGATCCTGACTGGGACTTGGTGTCAACAAGGTTGTCTGATCTCTTATCTTGTGTGTTCACAGACTGTAAATGTGGAGCTGCTGATGCAGTTGATTGTTGTAAGGAGAAACACAAATTCCTCAAACAGCAAACACAGTGTTCCACAGATTTGGTATCAAAGCACTGCAGTCGAACCGCCGCGCGTAAAATGGTGATCAAGCTCCATAGCAGATGGGGACACTGACGCATGCGGTCGCGAACCTCGCGATCCTCGGAACTGCTGACGTTTCTGATCGGATAGAAGAAAGTTCGTATCATGACGTCGGGAATAGTACAAGAGCTTTGAAAAATTTTTTTTAACGTTAGGTTCCTTCCTAGCAGCTCTACCCAGGGTCATCAAGAAGGCTAGTATCGAATATGAATGCCCGGTTATTTCATTTAGTATATCTACTCCCAATGGGGAATTAGAAATGCATAGGTATTAATATTTAAACTTTTCGTTCCTAATTGATTGCCGGAGTTAAAGTTAAATTCGCAGTCAGCTGACAAAATCTTCCGGGCAAGTTGGAAACATTCACGCTTCCCCCATCCAACCGCATCGAATGGGGGAAACCAGTGGGATTCTGAGCCATCCGGTGCCATTCTAAGACAGGGTAGATATAAGAAATCGGAGACGATAACAAAAGGGTAGTTGGGAAAACGCTTGAGAAAATGACATATTTCCTAACTCAATTGGACGTTAGCCGACTTCATAAATAACGAAAGAACACAACAGAATAAACTCAAATGTCATTCAAACTGAAACTAGATGTTACTCACGATTTTCACTAGTAGTACACACCACTACACCAGATAGATATTTCTGATGCTTACTTAAAAACATCATTGCTGAGGGAATAATCCACGTACGCAGGCACAACTAACCACAACTAACAGCTCCAACGACGTTTTTTTTAACTTACAACGAGGACTGTCAGCACTGTGTCATTAACTGATGGCAATATGCCAGATCCGAATAGCACGTTTTTTAAAGAAACACAATTAATGAACTTAAGACTGGGACAGCAAACCCTTGAACTCCCAGCTGTCCTACCTGATTATTAAGTCGTTTTCATTTGCGCTTCCGGGTCAGTGAAACATAAAACATTTCTTCGTTAATGGAGCACATTGTGATACTAAATTCTGACTGAATTTTTTGGTTACTTATATGAAGATTTCAGTTTCCGAATGCACAGTACTTTATTTTGCCACCTTCAATCAACCCAGCCGATTAAAATGTCTGTTTAGACTTTGTGCGGCCATTTCACTGTCTCCTGTTTCCTCAGGTTTCACCCGTAAATTTGTGCAGAACCGTCTGATAATCGGAATTCTGGGAGAAAACCAGGGCATGTGGGAGTGGCATTGCCTGAAATCCCGATTTTTTGCTTTTCTCTTCCAAGGAGGGGGAAAAACTTGGCTTTTTTGTCTCAATATGGAAATCAAACTTCATTCCATGTTAGAGTTTGAAAATCCGAATGTTACTGGTTGAACGAGAGCAGAGAAAATAACGATAAACAAACATTATTTCGCCTTGTTTGTACTTAACGCATTCCAAAATATCAGTAATCACGGAAATCCGTGAATCAGACAAAGTCGATGTGAAATGGCTGTTTGGTGCTCAGAACCCATGCACGCGTGTCTGTGCCAGCCACCACAATCTTATTACCTAGCTATACTGAAACTTAGCGGAAATATTGCCTCAAAACATGGAAGATAACTACAGTAATTGGGCTTTTAATGCATCTCGTGTTGTTGCGCGTTGCCAAACCCTTTTTTGTAAGTATAATACTATTCAATATGTATTGCAACTGTGACATCCTAACGCGTGGTTCTGCGCCAGCATTCTGGCTTGGTCACCGATTTAGCTGAGTACAATCCAGTCAGAAGTGGCCAGCCCGTGTGACCCTGGACTGTCCAGACAACGCCTCTGACACATGCCGTTCAGCATGATAATCAACTGAAAATCCAGGCTTATGACGTAAGGCACGTTCAGTGTGTTGTTTCTCTGCTGAAGAGAGAATCAACCATTTCATGAAACAGAAATCAGGCTCGTTAACCCGGTGTGGGATAAGCAGGGCAAAAGCGTTTGTGCCAACCAGATTTAAATCTCCACAGATATTTCAGTTAAATGGCTACCCTGTGGAAACGAGTATACTGTCAATGAAACCGAGCGTCTGTGCGCTCACATTACAAGCATATTTTCGTAATTCTTCAGAATTCTCATCAAGGAAGCGATATGCATCAACATCTTTAGATTTGTAGTTGGATATAGTGAATAGAATAGGAAAATGTGGCCCATTTCTCCTGAAAGTCATGCATCAGAGTTGTACCGGAAAAACATGATTGTTGACCTATATGATGTACAAAACGCTGTGCTCTTCGCCACCTCCAGATAGCCAACTTGCTCAAGCTTTCCACTCACGCTTCCAACTTTATTAGTTGTATTCTTGACTGTTCACACTTGGCCGTGATCTTCCTCGTATACCTATTCAAAGGCGGTGACTTATGGATAGCCTATGTATTCGTCTGACGTTTAATGAGCAGTTTTCCGAGCAGTCCACCACAAAGGGTAAGCAGAAAGTTAGTAGACGCTCTAGGTTGAATTACTATCAATCATTTACCTCAGGCATTCCTTTTATATCATTTGCCGCTCTGGCTAGGTAATTGAACTAATCGGATCCACCTATTCAAATATTGAGGAAGACAAGTTAGGAACAGTGATGTCGGCAGAACAAAGCCCACGCGGTCATCGCATTCAGGTGCTTGAATGAAGTACTGATTGTAGTCAGTTCTTCGGTAACATAACGCTGACACATCCGACATCCACCCAGAAAGTGTGTTAGATTTGACGTGCTTCTTCCACTCACGGTCGACAAAAACAAACTAAAAGAGCAAGCACTTCCCTGCCATTCTGCTGGACCATAAAATGATTCACTTCAATTTCCAACCAACCATCAGTGGTCTATTGAATATAGACATCATCCAAACCCACCTTAGAACAGCTGCAACATTTCGAAAAAGGACAGTGATAAATGATGGTTCGCGCAGAACAGTTCTGCTGTCATTGCTCACTGTCTGACAGGCAGCTGGCTTCAAAACTGTGTGCACCAGGCTTGGTATCACAGCCTCCTGCAACACACTGCGTTTTAAATGATTCACTGCTGCCAGATTGCATAGAACCGCAGCTGCACTATCCAAAGTTGGGCGAAATTCTTCATTGATGAACAACTCGGTGGCAGTAGCAGCTGGTGCGTTCTCGGCCCTATTTGCTGCATGGGGTCCGGTGCATACGGTTAATTCATCCGTTACTGTTGTCGAATCGGTAGAGTGAGGCAGTGGATGGGGATAACCTTGACGGTTCTCAATTAGCCAAGATAATGCTCGGATTCCACCAACGCGTTCCAGCTCCTCCTTGAATAAGAGAAAATCGGAGTCATTCATTGACCAAAAAGGATGCCAGGGCTAGCTAGTCCGTGAATAACAAGTGTACACAATGGCTTCAGGTAAAAATAAGGACGTTACGCACCAGTACATACGAAAAACCAAACACTTTCTTTATAGAGGAACTAGAACTTGAACTGATGTCACCCGGCAACATTGCTGAACCTCTTCAGAAGCTGTGCAACCCTCCTCTGATAAAACGACAGGCGGTAAAGGTAACTATCTTGCTCGTGGAAAGGTTTGGGCGTTTTTCGGCTCAAATCACTCCGTTGAGTTGCTCATTTTAGCTCACTTTTAGCTCACTTTTAGTCCCGTCTGCTATGTTTTAGGAGATTAGATTATCCCTGATTACAAACTCTAAACTAAAGCCGCTCTTCTGAACATAACCATAATTTTATACGGTGGTTCGCTGACCATCCGTGTGTTTGAGTACTCCTGCTGAATAACGCTTAGTGCGAAATCTCCAGTGTGCTCAGACAATCACTATTAAAGAGGAGCAAACAGTGGCTTGATTGCTAGGTTGACCGTTTACTGGAAAATAGCAATTGTGACCGTGCTGTTATATAACCCGTATTTTCACAGCATCAGAGGTAAGCGCTAAAACTTTAGTACTCTGTGATCATTATTTTCATGGTGCTAAAACAAAGAGGACCTCTGAACAAGACCTCTGGTATCAAACGAAAATTATTGTCCAAAAACAGATGGGGCCGTTGTATCATTTTGCAGGGACTGCGCTAAGAGCCACTACAAATTCACCTTTGAATCCATTGATTCATGTGGCTTAAGCACAAACCTCTTCTATTTCATTGAAAATGTTTCTGCTGTCAGTGTTTCTATAACCAAGATTAATAATAGCGCAATAATCTCCAGCTGCCGGGTAATTTCATCAGATATACCTACAAGTCAAGGTAGCTCTTTTTAACAAAAAATGCCTTCATACAGAGGGAGTGAAGACCAAAGGAAGTGAGGTGGGTGACAAAAGTAAATTACTTGTTAAGGGACACGGTAGTCGAGAAAATCAAAGCTCGATTTCACCCATTCGATGATCATTAGGAAGAATAGTTTATAACTTACTCAGAATTCGAACATTGTACTGAAAACCTCGTAATATCGAACTGACTTTCTGCCCATTGACACCACTGATTTAACTTAAATCTACTCGATTAAGTTACTCGTTGGGTGATCTGGAGTGAGGAGTATTTAAAAAAATTTTCACCCTTACTTTCTGGATGACACTGTGCCCATAAGTTACGAAATGGTCTCTAAGTTAGCAAACGATGGTTACGGGTTTGGATTATTTCATAGTACCCACACTACCTACGGTTTGTATAGCACTTACCACAATATGACAGGTGTTAAAACAGCTTTCCCAAAATACCCAATTGAAAATACAGTTCAGGTCCCGAGGGACCAAGCAAAAATGACATCTTCGAAGGTTTCTCTCCTTGGGAATGATGAGAAATCTCAAAATAGCCTTTGGTATTCACGTGAGTATGCCACCCTAATATGTGATGAAAACACTTGCAGCTGCCAGAACTGTGTTTGCTCAAAGATAACTGCTCTTTCGCCGACCCATTATTCGAGTAAACGACATGTCAAAGAAAACGCGATCAAGGTCGATTCTTCTGTGATTTAGTCGCTCCCCCTCCCCCGAATGAACATGTCTGAAACTAAGCATTCTAAGCTCGATACACTCTCTTCAAAAACAGATAGCCAAATCTACAAGGTGACCCATTTTAAACGATGATCACACTCGAAAGTTGGTCACCTTTAAAAAATTCTATAAAGGTGGATAGCTATATCACGAACTGAAAATTCGTCATGCAAAACTATCATAAATTCTTATGTTTAGCAAAGTTTGTGTGCAATCCCCAGGTAGCCTGTTGCATATAATGCTGCTAGGTTCAACAAACTAACAAGGCAGGTGTTAAATTTTGAACGCGACATAGAACGGTGACGCTTGTTTGACCATTTCATATATCTTCATAAATAGGCACCTTGAACGGTGAGCTCCTGTGCTGTCTCGATAAAAAACATGGTTGTAGCATGGCTAGTCAGATGTGAACCTGGTGGAGGAATAAAAGATAATCCGATACACGCGAGGGATTCCCCTAAAAGAAAGGTACTAAGTCTGAACCCAGTTTCACACAACCTCCGTTTGAAATGGGCTGCCTTGGACAGGTATAATACATGTTGTTGTCTGCAAGCTGTTTCTTTGACAAAACATTTTCTTATCTGCCAGCCGATGATAATAGATCGATCGATGCGTTGTCTTACTGCTCAAATATGCACGCCTTAAGTCACATTTGGAGGGTCAGTTATTTAGTTTTTCCTGCGGCCAAAAAAGACAGGCAGGCAAAAGAATTGCGATGTTAGACCCAAAATTTTGAAAATTGCATTCTACCGGCCCAAAGTACAATCATTTTTTGGCATGATCAAATGTTATCATTTCTGGCTGAAGCAGATAAGCTGGCATGAGCTTCCGTTTAGCTTCAAACCTAAAACATTTAAACCTGAATGGCTTCACTCGTGGGTGATTTGATTTCACATTCGGATAAGCAGTTATGTCAGGAAAACAAGGGTGATGATTTATAGTCCGCTGTTCGAATGTCAAGCGTGGTAAAAACATCCTGGTTTCAAGGAAAACTAGATAGTTTATCGGACTCCTTTCTGAGCACACATATTTCAGGGTGAAGGTTACTCTTCGGGGCGATGGAAAATGCTATCAACATCATGGATGACTTATGAGCACCTTCTGTTGTGTGATTGTGCCAGAAATTACGTGGTTATCCATGTTCCAATCCAGAGGGGTTACAGGTGTCACCATACACAGACAACAAGAAAATCGAACCGATTATTGCACAGGGTGGTTTCCTCAAAATTGTTGACTACCTGTTTCTAATATGCTCTGAGATGAAATCATCTTAAAAGGTGAAAATAGTCCAGCTACGAGTGCAGCACGAATGAATCAAAATTAATGGGGACATCAACCATGGCAGTACAACAGTGTTTGCTAATTCCCTAGTTTTCAGAATCGGGTCAGTAAGAGTAAGCAGGTGAGAAACACATCAGTTGTAACAGTTTCTCAACTGCTGTCGCAAATAGGAGAGCGTGGGATTCGAATAGGTAAAGTCCCATTTGGGCGAGGCAAGCAGGCTTGGGTGTCACTGGTATGACTTTCGGAAACCACAGCCGACATTCAATAAGTAAATTGGACGAATAGGATTTGCAACTGGTGAAACTAGCCAGTAGCTCCGGCATACGCTAGTATGCTCAAACATCTTTGTGAAGCCCCACTGCTCAGTGAAAAAGTCGAAGCGTGTTCAGAGTTTTAATGTCACGCCAAATTCAGTAAACCACACCCGATAGTAGTTGTGGTCCTAAATTGCGCACTCGTTGTTTCCACAAAATTACGTTTCGGAGCTAAAAATTTCTAGGAATACATGATTTATGAAGATGGGGAGCGCTTTCAACTAAATTCTAATTAGTGGAAATCAGAAAAAGTAGAATAGTTCAAGAACCAACCAGCTATCTATTTTTACAGGACAAACGTTGTCGTGCCAGCTAGGAAATGATCTGCATTTACCAAAGGTCGAGTACGGCTCTGTGTGCTCTTTGAACCTAAAAGTACCACAGCTCTCATTCACTGCTTTAGCAGGAAAGCGGGATGTCAGAACACTGAATACTTACAGTGTATTCCATAGTTTGAGACAACTAACTATACCTGTCATTTTCCTGTCTTCTTAGAGGGGGAAATCACATGAACACGTTGACTCCTGAAATTCTCATCAATCTTTGAATTCACCTGAACACACATCATGGGCGGATGCTGCACGTAATTCATCAGCGTAACAACCAACTACTAACCTGCCTCTCACCCTACCAATTAGTTTAGGTAAAAGAAATCGTTACCCTCTGTTGTCAGCGACCGTCGGCAAACCACTTATCCTGTCGGCGGTGTGCAATCCACTTTTATACTCTTATCATTTCATTTTTCGCAACTTTTCCTCTGGTTAATTAGATCCTTCGCACGGCTGTTATCGAATGAACACGTAATAATCTAGTAAGGTTCGGTTCCCACTGTCTGAGTCTCATATTGTGTTTTATCTCCTCTCAGAAAGCAAACGTTCATGCCTAAAAACAGTCACACATTCACGGACAGCACTGGGAGAGAATAACAACAAAGCCGACCATTTCCTCTCCGGGTAAATGGTGAAATGTTGATTTGCGCGCCAAGTGAATCACATGGATGTGCAGCTGCCATGGCAACTACATACACGGGTTTCCAGTGTGTTAACTGCACTGTCTGGAGCAACTGGCATTCCGTGTAATAGGTGGGAGCACCTGAATCGTGTATCAATTTGGCGGTGTGTTTCACGAGACCAGTCATGCGCGTCAGTAAAATAGGCATAACAGAAGCATGTACGACGGCCAGACAAACAGCTTGTTTGGGATATGTTGTGCTTTCTCATTGGTCACGGTATTTCTGCTGAAGCTTTCTCTCTGACAGTATAAAGATTATACACAACCGCCGTGTGTATTGTGGTCCCAAGCCTTCAATCTTTTCCCGACAGTATACCACAGCGAGTGAGGGCGAATCAGCAATTTGGTGGACGTAGGAGGTCCAAATATCTTCGACTCTCCGCTTAAGTTCATCACAATCTAGACAGACGTGCTACCTCTTTGACTGGTGGGTTGCCGGGACTTAAGCGGCTTCTGTAACAAATGTTCGTTCAGTATGTCTACAACCGGTATTCGCGTCCAATATCACAACACTCAGGCTTTTGGACTTCTGTAGGCTTCAACATGGACACCACATCGTATAGTCAATAGGAACTCTGAGTGTAATAGTTGAGTGGCTGTTGGTGCCTTGGCTTGCTTTCTCGCATTGACGGTGATATCACGGACTACTGGTGGATTTTTTTCTTCCTTCTTATGAGTTGCGCTTACCGTCGTCGATTGTTGTTCGTAATGCGTAGATGCTACTCTTATGGACATTTGAAGGCAGTAGTTTACCAAAGAGCTTGTTATGTATACACAGTATGAAGTGGTTACTGACAAGGAAATCAAGGTGTAATTCAATTCTTATTCAGTATCACTATGTTGGCTGTTGCTCAATTGGCAGTTGATTTGTTCAGTAAGCTTGGCAATTCACTTGTAAAGAATTTGTTACCAAGCGGGAAGATTACCACTTGGCGGTTAGGTGGGTTATTAGCATATTCTACACCAACCTAGTGCTGTTTGTTACGACAGCCTCAGTATGAAGTTCGTGATGCTTTCTATGAGAGTATGAAATGACCAATATAATGTGATAAGGCACAACTAAAAAGAAGGATTTATACCCACTACTCAGCAAGAAAAAGCTAAGCAAGACTAAAAAGATGTTTTATTCGTATAGGAAATCATCGTCAGGATAAGGGGTGACTATGACGTTCCCATTGTTGTGTTTACCGTATCCCGCAAAAACGAAAAAAAAGCCCAATGAGTGCGCTACAAGTATCTGGAAGGATTCGATTTTGCAACCTCTTCAATAGTATTTCAGAGATCAAAAATTCAGCGGTGACCATTGTCGACATGCTATAGCATCCCTGTTACAGTCTATATTAACTTCCTCATACTTGTGGAGTATTTTAGCAATGCTTATTTCGCAAATGACTGGTGACAGCCAAGCTAAACTCACCGGAAGAGACGGTGAACGTAATCCAAGGCAGTATACCTTTGGTGCACAAAAGTAATTCCCTCGGAATTTTGGACCTGAAGAAGTATATCACTCTTTTCGACTGGTAATTCATTACGGACTTGAATCTGGTCACCATAATTCACCTTTGTTTTCCAGTAACCTTCCTCTTCTCTCCAACTATTACAGCAAGCGAGGGTATATTTTAACAATGAGATCGAAATAATGTGCAAAATGCTGAAAAATTTCTTATTACTGAAGCAGCCGACACAAGTCTCGTCAGTTATACCATGGAAAGCATCTTCATCGCGTAAGTGACGTTTCTCCCACTTGGTTTCCTAAATGAAGTAAACGATTTTCAAAAAGTGTTGCAGGAATGGTAGCGTTGGGAAAAACTGCTCTTTGTGTGTCGTTTCTTCTCCATTACTACATTCGCTTTAATGAAGTTTAGCCACGACAGAGGTCACAACCTTGACTTAAGGACTCCAGTAAAATATCGATAGTCCGTGAATTCGTTCGGCTCAGTATTGTCATATCTGTTAGCTGTATGCTGGTGACAACATCGATGACCGCGAGACATACGGTTGTGTAGTTGGTATACGAATGACCATATCTCCCCAACCTCTCCTTCTTGTCTATATATCCTCTACATAAGTGACGTGCACCGGACTGAGGTCCACATTTTCCAGGCATCTTTTGATTCTGACTGTCAAAAACCATAAACAATCACGACCGTTGGAAGATGTTACATGGATTGTGACGTGTGTATAATCTATCAAGTGATCACGGTAGATCGTCTCTTCTCGCGTCTACACCACAAGTGCACACTATAGTAACCTAAGTTAAACCACCTGTTCAAGGAGGCACATTCATATAAAGTTCACAAACCGGATGCGTCCCAAAACTTACTTCCTGAGTATGTCAGTATTTTAATTAAGTTTATTTAGTGTCGGCATCAACTCATACATGGACTGACCATTTATAAAATTATCTAAACTATGCAACTACAAACCCAAACCAGTTAGTGAATGGTGTATGAATCTATAGTTTCTGCATATGTAATTATGTTGGGCGTGCCCAACCCACAACAGTACCGTATGTACTGCGTCCAGTTCATCATGAAGAGAACCAAAGTAATCGTATTGTTGCAGTTTTTGAGCCTTTAGGGTCAAATTTTTCCTTTCCTCCAACTAGCTTTTTAACTCATGCAGGTTTAATCTATGTAGAATGTTGTCCTTCACCGGCCAAAAGTACATTGTTTTGGAGAGGTAATCTGGATTCCAAACGGAAGCTGGCAGAAAGTTGAATGAAAGCAATACGTGAAACAAAATAAAATGGCGGGTTATACACCTTTTGGCTTTTCACTGCACTTGACACTATCTCACTGAGAGAGATTGAGTCTATGGGAGATTGAGTACAACAAACCCTTGAAAACACGATAAACAAGGCGAATCCTTAGTCAACAGGTTTTATATTCTGCTTTAATCCTATGGACTCAGAGAAGGCGTGCTGTAGTGTGTTGTGATGTGTGGTGTTGTGGATCGTAGCATTGCTGTGAAACCGTTTTCACTGGCTTAAACAAGGTAAATATGGGATGTTTTGACCAATGCCACTGTATGAAAGACCAACTATCCCCGACTCCAGGCAATGCCAACTGATTTGAAATAGTGGATAAGATGAACTCGAAAATGGACGAGAGGCTTAAAATACCATTTATCCACAATGTATGCAGGTTGTTCTCCCTATGATATGCACCCGGAAGTAGGCCACATGAACAAAATGACTGATTTCTTCTTAATTTGCCTTATTAATTCGTAAAATGTGTGATCAGATCCAGGGTGTATTTCCGATGTACAGTCATTTGGGAATGATTATTTTGAGCTTAAGCCGCAAATTCGAACTAAGCTCTATGTACCGCTTTATCGGTTTTCCATAAAAAGCAATAAACGAATGCAAAGTAAACAAAAGGTGATCATTCGATCCCCATTAACTGATCGTCTGAGCAGCACTTCGACTTGAGCTGTGACATCTAAGAACCTACAGGTGACACCTCACAAATGATCATAGAAATGATTAACTGAAATTCAAAATTACGAATTTGCAAATTCTTAATATTGTAAATTACTTTACAGCCACTTCCAACATAAACAAACTTTCTTCCACGTTCGTTTCTACGACGGGGCCAGGTAACCCTGATAAACCTGCCTTGGAATAATTAGGCTGTTTGGTTAGGACCAGATCCGGTAACCCATTTGATTGGTCACGTTACTAAAACTTGTAACATAGTTAGCTGCCACAAGGGTACTACTGCAACATTCAAAACATTCAGTCTATGTGGTGAGTTTTTCAGTATGTTGGACTTCGTGGAGAAAACCACATAGTTATTACAAACCGGCCAAAATCCTATTGGATAGCCTGGGATGTACTGGGTTCGTCTGTATCAACTTCATTACAACTTTATGTGAATTGTCTAGCTTAAAGGCATCAAATTGGTACCCAATACAAAGGTAGTCATAGTCCGACTCTTCAGTTACACCTGGTTGCTAACCGTCGACAGTGACGCCAACGTATTAGGCAGATTAAGAACTACACTTGGTTGTTGACTTGTGCATAAATATCTTACCAAATTAACAGTAAAAACTGTACAACACACATCTGTGGAATTCGGTTCACTGGCTTAACTGAAACCCTTGGATTTTTCAAAACTCCCGTGTTGACATGCTTTCTTAGAAATGGAATCTGTCAATCGGTCCCCTTCAAGTGAATCGGGCAAATCAAGTAGTCCAACTGTAGCTGCATAGGAACCATTGAGATTTATGCATGTCTAGAGACTCGCATTGCTAGAGATTGTTGCAGAGGGAGTACTGCGTTCTTCGCAGCGGTGTGGAAAGCGGCAGACAATCAGAGAACCTAAGTGATGTGAGGATTGAAAGTACCCGAAGATTCTTTGAAGGATAAACTTATGTAAATGCCGTGCTGTTGTTGAAAGTGAGGTAGGATTTAATAATGTGCATAAAAGGTTCCTACGGTAAGTAACTTAAACTTCCAGTCCGGATGGATGGCAAACTACAATAACCAGTTAATGTTCTGGCAGATCTTATCACGGTATACTTGACACCTTAGTGTTCTACTTGAACATATTACACACCAAATTTAGTTTTGTGGATTAACGGATGAGCTGAAAAGAAACAAGCAAAAGAAGATAAATCCTAATTTGGTTGAACCTCAAAGCTCACCTTTATCTCAAGATTATCACCGCTTGTAAGGTTTCTCAGTACGCCCACAGTATTCTGACAGATTTGTACGTGCTCTGAATAAAGCAGTTGAACAAGCGCTGCAATACCTCCACATTGACTGAAATAAAAAAAATTTATTGTAAATATATGTGGAACAGCAACATTAACACGCATGAATTTAATGTATACTTATAGCCAAAAAGATGTTTAGGTCGGAGATGAATTATCATAAATCCTGAGTTTGATGAGTTTTCAAAATGTGAAACGACATTAGGATGTCTGCGGATTCTGAGAAACATTCCATTCTGCTCAGAAGGTCAACCTAGGTCACAGTAGCTTCTCAGTTTAGATAAATCACATTGCTGGTGCATGACATGGTAAGTAATAATTACAAAACATTTGGATGGAAACGATGGCACATTTTTATCACATTTCACCATTAGGCCAGAATTTTGGAATTCCTTAATTATATCCTGTGTCTTTCAAAGTAACTATAGATACCTGCATCGATACCATATTTTGTACGAAAGAAGTTGAATAGATTGTATGTTGTGTGCGACATCTGTTTAGCTTACTTGGTAAAAGGTTTCAGTCACCATGGGCGACCTTCGACAGGAGCAGATCAATCAGGATTCAAGAAAAATTGGCGGCCTTTTATTGTGTTTTTTCTCCGGTAATCAATCTGAAGTATGGCTGCTAACGTCTCAGTGTGTACGCTATTGCAATTGTTGATAAACAGACGCAGGTATATTTGACCGTCTAACTACGTCATGTAATCTCTGCGCTGATTTCCTCGGAGATTTTGGCTTTCTAACCGCATAGAAATTTCAACCGGTGACGCGAGGCGGTTCTGTAACAGTAAGATTACTTGAACAACGAGCAATCCTTTGACACGCTTCGGTCAACAGCAGTGCCGTGAATTAAACACTGCTTGCAAATCTATCTTCGTGTGATGCTAATGTGAATTTTCACTGATAATCTGTTCATGATTGTTAGCTGCGGTATTCGTTCACTCTCTAGAAGCTTACAAATTCAAGAGTGTAACCAGTGCCAACTCCGTATTCACAAACCTGGAAATATTTGAATCCTATTGATGCGCATCAGTTAGGCAAACGGCAACTGATCTGTTTGTCTAGCCTGGCTTGCAAGCGAGTCGTCACCATGCGAGGAGAAGCCGTCACTAGACAACTTGGTGACTTCCAAGCTCGGCGCATAGATTAACCCTACCGCCTGATCAGAAGTCAACATTCGTGAACCTGCTGTTTTCGTTGCATCAGCATGCAGGTCTCACAGTCTGGGCTTAATAAAATCAGCTTTGTCTTGTCATGGAACACTTATCTAGAACAGAGGTTGCCACAAGTTTTAGCAGGAGCTCGCGTTCCAGGTGAAAAGGTCAGTACAGGTTAGGTAACACCATGAGTTATGCTTCCAAAGTTATGAACTCTTCAGCTTCTGTGTGCTATTTATTCAAAAAAATGAACTCACCTGTAAAATCTGGATGATATTAGTTCTGACTACAGGACACCATGAAATCACAGCTTTTTTAGGTGATCCATAGCAAACGCTGATTCATGAAGTGTTGGGTAAAGCGTGGAAGACATTAAATGTGTCGACTAATATTCTTAGTCCCGAACACACGCCCTCCCTTAAACTTGCCATCGTTCGAATCCGACTAAAGGAAGACCGCTCCGATTAAATCTACCCTGATTGCCACTATATGTTTGTGTGCATAATATTCCCTATCTGCACTGGTTTATTCCATCCTGACTGCACACCTCTAGCTGTAGATCAGCGGCAGTCTTGAATGCTGTGTTGAACCGGATTCCGACAAGTATAGATTTGTAGGAACATAAGACAGAAAAATCCACAGACTGTGTTAAATAAGTCCCAGCCTGAATGAATTTCGTCGCGTGAGTAGGTCAAAGTACATGCAGTACAAGGTTCCTTTGGTCCTGAAAAGTTAGTTTTGGCCACTTGAGAGTCATTGCCTGCGCGGGGTTTTACCAATAAACTAGCATGTTAATCGCCTCCGCTTTGGCCATATATTTCACTACTATGGTTTATGGGGGCAAGATGGCTCAATGGTTAGGGCGCTAATTTACTGAACGGAAGGTCGGTGGTTCAAATCTGACATCTGCGTTCCGACTTCTTCTGTCTAGGCTTGGGCAAAGTGGCAGTAGTTCAGCCCTCGTGCTTCCTTCGGGTAGTACGGCAGCTAGGCACCGAAAGTGTGTGCGCGCTAAGCGATGCGTTTTTTCATTTTTTACTATGGTTCATGGCAATGTGAAGAGATGTGGTACTACACAACAGAGATTTTTGTCAAATCAGTGAAGTTAATCTATCTTGAAAGGACGAGAAGCACCGTACAGTTGTTCTGTCCATGTTGGGAGCCATCAGCAGTGTAGATCACACAAAACCCATCTTCGAACCAGCAACCCTCTGACAGGTGATTAAGCACTTAACCGTTTTGCTGCCAGTGGCTGATGAGCAGTATGATTAGCTACCACTTAGGTCCTACTTTCAATATTAATGAAATCGGCAGATTTCTTAAAAATTCCTAACTAGATGCAAAGCTCTTGTGCGATTAGGGTGGTTTCTTGTTTCTGATAAACGGGCCAAGAGACAACTAGTACTGTTGCATCACTCTGCCTTGGACAGGCTGATCGGCGTTCAGACCTAGGTTTGAACGGTTGTGTTGTTGTTCTACGAACTCCATTAAACCGAAAAAATAAGATTGGAATGGCCTGACAAGAGAGTCTACACTTTTCTACACTCTTTTCTAATCAGTGCATTACTTGTAAAGAATACACGTGAAGACAGATTGGTCGCGGATATCTTGTTAAAAAGTATATAGAACTGAACAGTTTTCATTGGTACTCTGGGACCACGTGCCCTTCAGGCCTACTTTCCGTGTGACTCTCAAAAAACCAGTATGACAGTCCGTCTTCTTGGGACAGGTTTTGAGGATTTTCAGCTTATTTTACCTCGATCTGATCTTCATAAATCTTCTTTCTCTGTTACACAAAGAAGGTGACGACATTAGTCTTACTTTAGGTGATATACAACGAGGATTCCAGATAAAAAGTAGTTCTCTTGAGAAATAGCCTACCGATAACTGTGTCAATAAAATGAAATTTGTCCCGTGGTCAGTCTTATGACCAAAGCTTGAACGGAATCTAGCATATCATACATTAGGGAATGGGAACTAATACACAATAATGAGCAGGTCACTGTTGCACTGAGCATCATTGGTTAACTAGATTTGTTTGAGCTGTTCATGTTCTTGTTTCCTCATCCCTCAAAACAAGAAGCAGAAATACACTCGTTTGCATATCATTTTTGTTTTCACTAGGAACTCAACTGAATCTATCGTTTGTTATATTCTACAGCTGAATGTGCTGCACACAGACCGCCTCATGTTTCCATTGGCACGATATTCAAGATATCGCAGTATATTTTCAGAAAGTAAACTACCCACAAGGTTGCTGAAAGGCGCAGAACCCGGTTTCAGTTCAAGTAGAAAATAAGATTGATGAAAACTAGGGGACTGCACCTACCTGATGAGCCCAAGAAGGGCGAAACCGGTCGTGGGCTGTCGAAGTGTTTTCAGCAACCTTATGAGTAGTTTCCTTTGTGAGGATGTGAACTAATCTTCTGTTGACTCCGTTTTGTTCATACCTCTTTTGGGCTTGCAAAATTTTTGGCTTCTTCAGTATAGATTCCACAATAACGCAGCTTTTTTGTGTCTTTTATTTTCGACAAACCAACGATGTGTGCCCAAGATTCTCTTTTCAGCGAACACCCAATTGCCCGAGAAATTGACGCCCAGTCCGATGAACTTTGTTTCTCGTGCGGGATCATTGGGAATGGCCCAACACTGACTAATACTGACTAACAAAAACCCGTATTTTGGGAATTCTTATACGCATCGGGTTTCAAAAGACGTATCTCTTATCTACAACTCTCTTCTAACACTTGATGAATAACAGAACGAGCTTTTAGACAAGACAGTTGTACGCATTCTAACCGAAACTGGTCGACTGGACTAGGCCAACGACTTCTTGGATTTGGGCTAAGACAGCATTTGACCTGCATCCAGAAGCATACAGATTGGTGCCCCCAAAAGAAAGACGTTTTAACTTTTCTTATCAACAGTGGAACAAAACGTTTGATAGCAGATTACCAGTGAACTGGTCAAAACTTTTGCAAACCTCCGGTCATTTGTCTCTACTCGTATCAGGCCAAGGACAGGTCGGAAGCCTCATCAATAATGAGATTTTTCTAACTGAAGAAAAATTCGCAATACATCATGGAAACCAGTTTCCAAACTAAATCTATATCTAACAAGCTGATCTTCTCCCTTTTCTAGTTGACGGAAGCTATTCGTCCGCTTGAGAAGTTCATTGAGCAGAGGAAGATGGTAAGGTCCGCTTCCAGACCATGAATTTCACTGACTCTCTCTAACCTAAAACCATGCAGATGTCCAGCGGCACCGAGTCTATTCGGTTAACATAATCTTTAAAACAAAAGAAATGGATCAGTGACAAGTTCATCTGCTCACTTCTCTGCAGGCGTTGGAGCTGGTGCCATGAGGGTCAACTAAGCATGGCTTGCTTATATCAGTTCTGAAGTCGACAGTTTTTTACACCAGGCAGTTTCAGATGTTTTCTGCTGGAAACAGGACTGGTTAGGTATATGTACCGAAATCATTGCCCAGTGTCCTGTGTGTAAAGTAGTAATCCTTAAACTAATCCCTCCGCACCGTAGATTATAGAAGGTCTCTTCAGAAACGAAACGATTCATATCAAAAGTGGAATAGAATACCGTTTGGGGTGGTAGCCATGTGGGTATGGTATTGGCAGCTACTAATGTTGCTTTGAAAAGAGGCTCCATTAGGAAGCCATTAACTGTAACTTTGTCCCTGATGACATCTGAGTTACGCTATGGATTTTTTAACGAGTTACATTCCCATAAGCCGGATACGAAATTAGAAATAGATACGGTAAGGATATACATTGGCTGTTGTAGGTAGGTATCAACTGAGTATAACGGTAAAGGCAGACTTTAATTAACAGTTAGGTTGTCGCATAAGCGCGGGTCTAAGCTTAAAGTGCAACTGCACTGAAGTATGAAGCTCCTTTCAACGAAGTCTGAATAGCACGTGTATGACCACGATCCAGACTCAGTTCTACTCCAACAAGTAAACAGACAAACTAGAATTGAACTAAGAAACCCTGAATTTTAATTTCATTTTGAGAATGGACAAATTCTTGAGCCAGTAATGGGTAGCCATTGAAAAAAACTTGCAGGATACAAAGAATGTTCAGGGGTAGGTGATTTTCATCTACTTTACCGAGGGAAGATGTCAAAACTGAACAAAAAAAATGCAGCAAAACTATATTTATTCCAAATCTCATCAGGCTGCTCAAACTTCTTATCTAGATGAAGAGCTTTATTCTCTCAAGGCGAAACTTGTCGCGTAAACTGTTAACTGTGTTGCTAGATTGTATCCGAAACTATGAAGTTGGTAAATATTTTTCTGGGCAGGTGATCATCAAACGAAAGTTTATCATCAGTTTTGTTGCCTATTGTAACGAAGTTTTTCCAGACTTACCGTGTTCGTTCCTTCATATTGGGGTTTCGATAGACAAGATGTTGTAGGTAGGCTGAGGCGTTAATGACTACCTCAGGTTCTGGGGATTGCAATAATCGCACTACTTGAAGTATATCCATTTCCTGATGGTTAGTAGAAGGACCCGATTCAGGAGTATGGTACTGAGTACTGACAGAGTTTGATCGACAGGGTCGAATAGACTTCCACGGTTCTGTGAGGGATATAAGAGAAGGCAGACACCAGAGGTAAGATCTGATGTGGAAAATAACAGTGCTTATTGTGTCGGGTTTCGAGTATACACCACGGAAGTATTTCGCCTGGCTTATTGTGCGACGACCTCTCAGTTAGGACGTTCAAGCTGTATGCAGGACCTTTTCCTTTCCGCGGAGTCTTCCTAGAGTTTGTAGTACCTTTTGTCAATGTTAGGCCTCACCGCGTGACCGGAGGCCATGAGCTTAATTGTTTCTGATGAATTGCACTTCCAATATTGAAAAAGTTGAAGCATATTCATCTGTGTTCGAGACAAGCAGATCAACAAATCGAACTTCCATCATAGCTAGAGAAATGAACCATTGAATTTTCCCTTCTCTAGTAACAGAATGGTTCTATCTGCTCATACCAGTTTATCCCACTGGTTTTTCAATCGATTCAACTGCCTTCCGTGTTACTAGGTTGTCTTATCTATCCGTCTGTACAGTGATCATTACAGTACAGAAGAAGAAATTACTGTGGGATACATGTTGTTGTATCTACTGATGAACGCAAGTAGTACCGCTGAGAAGTAAAAAAATTCAAAGTTGCCCGGAAACACCTTAAAATGAACTAGTTTTGAATCCTGTTTGTTTACACCTAGTGATAGCAATGGGCAACTCCAAGGAATTAACAACATGTCGAAATACTTGTAACTGGGGTATTTTTAGTTGTTGTTGATCAAATGGTTGTTGATCCGTTTGCCGAGCTTAGCAGTTTACTTGCAAACGCTTCATCGACAAACGAGGAGATATAATCAGTGCGAAATCGCGCAGCCATTTGAGCAACGTTAGTCCCGCTGTGCCGGGCTTTCGGGCTTTGCTTTCATACGTTCTTCTAGAGAACTTAGCCGGCGGACTAATTTTCTTTAGAGGACTACGGTATCTCCTCTTCCTCTGAAAACTTACTGAGGTGCTACTTATAAACCCTCCAGATTTGAGCCTTATTTCGCCAACAGCCTCCGAGGTTCCACCTTTATCTTGGGCATATCGGTAGTTTTTCCTTCCCAACTGCGAATTTCGGCTTGGACATTCAGGAATATTATGTATGTGACCCATTTTCATGTAAGTAAAGTTTGAGGATTGTGATGATAGCCAAATTAATCTTTGAGTCAAAAATTAAGCCCTTATTTTCCCATTTTCCATCGAAAAGCTATATTCTTAACCTGCACAATGGTTGACAAAATAATCAGATGAAACGCGTACGGAATTTTGAGACTGATGCAGAAATTCTCAATTTACCCGGCAGGCTCCAAGTTGCCTCAAGAACAATGATTATAAAATCAAATGATTACGAGCAAGTTGGATAAGATTTTGGATATTACAAATGGCGTTCATCACGGATAACGCAACTAACCTCAATGCCTGAACGTAAAGCATCTCGTCCAGGCTTGAGCCACCTGACATTATCCCAGCTCTCGTGCCACCCTTCCGGGTGGCATGGCAGCCAGGCACCGAAAGAGTATTACAGCTAACCGGTTTAAATTTATGAAAGTTTGCAATCTTTGGATGCACGTACATGAGTAAAAATTTGACTCAATGGACATGAATGCTCCCTTAGTCTTTCAGTCACGAAACGCCGACAGCCACCCTTCGGGTGGCATGGCAGCCAGGCACCGAAAGAGTATTACAGCTAACCGGTTTAAATTTATGAAAGTTTGCAATCTTTGGATGCACGTACATGAGTAAAAATTTGACTCAATGGACATGAATGCTCCCTTAGTCTTTCAGTCACGAAACGCCGACAGGTAATTTGACCTGAACACTCTCCATTTCCATACAGACAGATTACTGTCACCGAAAGACCTAGGCAACCCATTTATCCATTAGACCGCAATGTCTCCTCCTTGGCTTCCCCAAGTGACACCACTTCTTTGTTATTTTGTGAGGAAATTGAGGTGATTTACTGAAACGTAAAGGACAACACCGGTACTCATTTTAGAGCCATCATTATTTCGCCCACTGATGTCATCCTGTAGTTCTCCGGCAGTATGCATCTCGATCTTATTCCTTTAGGTCGACATGGAATCCACAGACTCATCCATATTAGGGCATCCAGCTCAGTGGAAAATTCGTTCAATGCGCAAGTGTCCAGTAGTTCAGCCATTGCTCACTGGTAAGTCCACGTTGGATGTCAGCTAGAACATATTACTTTATATTATATCGCATTATATTATATTGTGCTTTATGATATTGTGCTGTATTATATTATATTGTGGTATGTTATATTCCATTACATGATTTTGTATTGCATAATGTTGTGTCATAGTACATCAACAACAATGGTGGTAAAGACAACCTACTAGCCTGTTCCACGTTTGTAGGCTTGCGCTGAGGCATTGGAGTCTGGATTCGATGTTTCTGAATGCAGCTATCTTCATGATTGCTGCATTTTATTCCACGCGATGTCCTAGAAACCTCTGAATAGGTGTCGTTCGTTTCTACTACTGATTCCGAGAGATTTGAAAACCTGAAATGTCAATGAAATGGATGATAATTGCACGAAAAGCAACATCCTTTCATGTAGCAATCGATTTTCATACCATGCAGGAATCCCAACCGAGCTGTGCGAAACTGGGCTTTCTCCTTTTATTCAAGTCACGTGCATCTTTACCACACAGGTTCTGCGGAGAGTCGTATTGTAACTGTGCTTCATTCACCACATGCATGCGTAATAAACAAGACTGAGAAACCAACATGCGGGTATTTCACGTTACATGCAGGACCCACATTGCAGTCAAATGTTTGTAAGTTTGAGCTCACTTTTTGTTCGCCTGGCTCAAACCAGTTTTGTAGTTCATTTCTTGATTATTGAGCGGTGGCATGTTTCTTTTCAGTCTTTCGAGCGTAGCGGTCGATCCGTTGCGACGCGGCGTCATATCGAAACAGTCTCCTATGAATGTCTTGTCCACACGTCCCTTGATCTCTGAGGTGAGATACCTTGGTGTCAATGAGGCTTCAGTTTGTGTAATCAAACTCTTGGTCATCCTTTCGTTTCCACATTGTACTTCTCCACTATGTACATGAATATCGATCACCAAGTTATATGTATCATCTCCAAGAGTTCCGGTAGCCTCCTTGGAAATCGAAGAGGATGACAATGTGTTTCTTTCCAAACCAGAGTCACCCGGAATAATATCTTTGTTCAGTTGATACTGTCCAAACGATGGCATGGCTGCCGGGACACTGCGCTGGCGAATGTGAACCGGACCAGGTATGTCTGAAGACAATGGAGAACTTGAGGCTATAGAGGATTCAGCGCTGTGCTTTCGGTCATGCCTCCACAGCAAACGTATTTGTGGCGACGAACAGTCTATCATCACCGGTGACTCACGCGTCCTCGAAACAGTGTCATATTTATGCTCCCCATCCCACACAGGCGTAACACGTTCCGAAGCGGTGTTCGGAACAGATGGTTTATGGTTACCGTGTGATGATGAAACAGATGGTTTATGGTTACCGTGTGATGATGGGGGTGTGGACGGGGTGAAACGTTCCGGAGGATAGTAGCGAAACATAGTGCTGTCCGAGTTCATTGATCTGTCGCACACATGTGGAAATAAGGCAAAACCTGTGTGACCTTGAAAAACATGTCGCATTGAACTAGAAGGACATCACTTAGGCAGCCTCTGTGATCACTTAAGAGGGTCCAACACTGCAAAAGTCATGTCCACGTTTGAAGCTTATCCGGTAACTTCTCATATTGACTGGCAAATCAGTGATCAGTACTCAGCTTGACAACCTATCTGTGCTCAGAATTTCAGCTGTACTGTTATATATCGTGAACCAAGATGGGGAAGCTGTGGTAAACAGCCTTTGGATTTGATCCTCAAGCAATGACAAAACAGATATACCAAGGTAGCTATTATGCAGAATGCATGATACACCTACTGGATAGCTTCAGATCTATGGAAACAGCTATGACTGCCGCCAGTCGCCTGTTGAAACTTGGAACGAACAGATGCGGGTAAAGTTATTCATCGGCTTGTTGAAGGCAAAATAACGTGAACCCTCTTTTGCAAACTGATTTCACTAGCTCACGAGGAAGCTTAATTCACATCAGAATGGAGTCCGCTAGTATTGGTCTGATCAATCCTGACTAGTAAAGTGGAACAAGGTAGACAGGATGACTAGAGTGATCAGTGCATGCTGCAGTTACAGAAGAACCCGGTCGTTAATTGGTTAATTTGCATATCAATGGTCTAGCGTTGCAAATTAAAGTGATTGCGCTTTCAGAAGGTGGTCTTAGCGATGTTTGTTGGCAGGAAATCCCTTGGTCGTGCAATCACCGGTCACATAAATGCAATCTGAATCAAGCAACTGATTATGCGGTCGGATTTTTAAAAAAAGCAGCATAACACGGTGTTTTTGTTCTGGTTTTGTGGGTAGACGTATATTTATCGATTGAACACATAGCTTCTTTCTCCATCACCACAGCAAGTGAAAAGCTAGAAATACATTTATAACGAAGACATGTGCACAAACGTCAGGTTTCAGGAGTGGGCTTGTACGAAATCGTTGTTCTGTGATGCCAAACGATTAGTCCATGCTCCATGCGTGATCGTCAAAAATGTGTATCTCAATTTCCCCAATAGTGGATTCCCGCAGATTAGGAGATCTGCTATGAGATCTGCTATGTCCTTCAGTGGACACTGATGAACATAGTGGCAACATTATTTACTTGTAGGACCGAACTGCCTTTGCGACGCTGGGTTACACTGCTCTCAGTATAAATCACTAGTTCTCGTTATTTTGGTCTTTATATCCTGGAATGTTCGAACAACACCGAGAAAAGGACAAATCAACGGGGATGGAGTTCCTCTTCTGTTCCTCATCGGGTGTACTTTACACCAAATAATGGCTGACGGCCGCCTGTCTAAGGAAATGCTATCTGTTCTGGAACAAACATCCATATGGACAGTGTCGAAGGGAAATTTATTGACGGCCGCTGTCTAAGGAAATGCTATCTGTTCTGGAACAAACATCCATATGGACAGTGTCGAAGGGAAATTTATATTGAAAATATTAGACGATTTGGACTTCTTGGTCTTCCACAAGGACTCCAAAAAGAAGTAGCTTAATAGCCCCGAACGGTTGTCTTTACATTCACATTGTCTCAGTAGTTAGTCTACTCCTCCAGGTTTCTGCTTAGCAAGGTAGGCCGATCAAACTTGGAAACCTCAGATTTGTCGTATCATATCCAATGGCAACTTCGGACTGAAACGTGTTTTGTATCCATTAAGGTTTCCAGACCGTTCACTTGTGCGAAAAAACTCCTTAAGGTTATCTTGGCCAATTCAATGACTTTCTGCTCATTGGGATGATGGTATAAATTAATGTTCTCGGACTTGAGTGAGGAAGACATCCCGTAATGTAGGGATCCAGGATGAAACTCCTGAAACGTTTAAATTAACGCTTGATGAATTATATCCCGTGAGCTATAATCTGGTATATGCCGGTTTGATTGGGTTCAGTGTATGTTATCCGGACTTTACAGTACAAGGAGCACCAACGGCTGTTACCTCAGACTAGACATGGAGACTTAACTTTGACGTCAATTCCCATTTCAAATGTTATATATTTGCCGAATGGTAATATGTATAACCATCTGCCCTCCTTGAACAGTGATTTCTACTGAAAGGCAACCGCTCAGTGGAGACCACTGTTGGTTGCAAAAAATTGTTTCAGCAGTTATGAACCATCCAGAAGGACCCAGTTTTTATCGGTTCTTTGAGGTGGCCTGCTCATGGATGTGCAGTATGTAAATGTACCAAACCCGGTAGAGTGCAAACTTTTACTCCGGAGAATAGAGATCACATTTCAGAAGTATCCGACTACCTTAAATAGGAAGTTAATTTTTGCAAGCTGTATGAGTGTATTGAACACTGCGGTTTAATTAGCGTGCGTAATTTTCTTTTTGAGCAATTTATTTAAAAACAGGATCACTCTTCAGCACATAAAAGGACTTCAGCAAAATGTTCCTTTATGACGAAGTCCCGCAACGTGCCTCGTTACAAAGTACATGCCTTCCGGTTTGGTCTGGTCTGTTTGTAGCCTGGTAAGATATTGTTGCACAAAAGACGAAGGATGTTCTATTATCGTCATCATTTTGAAGTTCATCAAAGTTGTACAACACAACGTAATATGAAATTACGGTCTGGGTTCCCATCTCCCCAACAGTCTGTCAGTAATTTTAAAGTAAAGTGTAGAAGTTCACTGCTCAAAGTATGCAGTAAGGCCTCTCAATAAAGCACACTTAACATTTAAGATCAGTTTCAAGTTTCACGTTGGCTTGAGGTTCTGTGCTTCTCAACAATTAGAGGCGCTAAAACAAGCCATTAAGTGCAGTCCTACAGGGTTATGAGGACAGCTCCCTAAGGAATACTGTGTTGCTCCGTGCTATACCCTATTACCCAACATCAGCTCACTCGTCGTTTCGGTGGGTAAACTTGGAGACTTAAGTCAGCCTTCCGAATTTCTGATGTGGCAGGCGAAATATGGGTACGAATGACTAACCAAGCTTTAAGACGATCCACTTTGTCACACATGTTTCAACGGCGGTACTTGGCATTGTAACCAGTCATTGCCGTTTACCACCAACGAAGATATTCACATGTGTGTACGTGTCTGTGCTCTTTTACAAGTGGAGTGAACGTGCAAGTTTTTGTCTCGGGTTCACGCGCGGAGACAGCTGCACATTTTCCATATTAGCCTTTACGGCTCGCTTACTGGGTTACCCGCAAGTGGATGAAAGCAGTCGATGCGCAGTCATTCCTTTAGGTAGGTCATAGCGATTGTGTTGTCTGTATGTACGTCACTGTGTAAGTCACAGAAGATGGAACCCGGGAAGAAAAAAGACAAGGATAAAGACAAGTGTTTGGTTGACGAAAGATACTGCAAAACAGCCGCTACTCATTACATTGCTGACCTTTAGGAAGGAAGTGTTCATCGGCTTATAAATGTGATTGTGGTATGTTTAGATAAACGAGAAAACTCGCATACACGGAACTATGTATCTACACCAGAAATAATGGGTTTTCCTCTCAGATGTATGCAGAAAGCCGCAAATTTAGTAAACGAAGAAGAAAACATCAATTTAGTATTTTTATCCTTATGGGCAATCGCTTAATCGCTTGTTTGTTAAAATGTCCCAAAACACTCAAGTTACTTCCTCTTTAGGAAGAAGTGTTCATCGGCTTATAAATGTGATTGTGGTATGTTTAGATAAACGAGAAAACTCGCATACACGGAACTATGTATCTACACCAGAAATAATGGGTTTTCCTCTCAGATGTATGCAGAAAGCCGCAAATTTAGTAAACGAAGAAGAAAACATCAATTTAGTATTTTTATCCTTATGGGCAATCGCTTAATCGCTTGTTTGTTAAAATGTCCCAAAACACTCAAGTTACTTCCTAGCAATATTTAAAACATGTCTTCCAACTCAATTCTGTTGCGTTTAGTTTCTTTTCAAATCTAAACTGTCATGCGACAGCCTTGTTCGAGTGTTTGTTTTCCGCCAAACGTTTTGAAGATGTCCAGATAACCCGTAACTTACCACTTAACTTCCAGCCGCCAACTGTTGATCTGAAGTCATTTGTGGATATAAAGTACGTCAGCCAACCTCATCAGTGAGCGATAACAGAAGCGAGCCAAACTTGAAGCGGAAGCATGGGAATCACTGTGTGAGTAGCGCTCATAAACCACGGCAATTTGATAATGCGCACGTAATCGAACTTTACTCCCAGACTTGCTTATGTTTGGAAGTTCTTCATTAGTTAGACGAGATCTGAATTCCACTGGCCCTCTGGTCGTCCCATGAAACCTGTTCCAGCTCCACTCAGGCGAAAACAGCCATTTCCCTTACGTTTATCGTTGCTGGCCTAGCGTGGTTTAGGATTAGGGCAGGCGGGTGAACCCATGGAAATACATGCCATCAAGCAGTGACCATTTGCTCACACATAAGCGCCATATGCTGTTATTTGAAATAAACATATTGGGAAACATGCTTACCAGACACTTCAAGTCAGTCAGGCATGTATGAAAGGATACAAAGATCAACGAAGCTGCTTGTCCCACCGGCACATTTCGACCTACGGAATGGGGAGCTTTTTTCGCCGTGAACGACTGTGTGGGCTCACATCATACATTGCAAACTTCACACATCATCGTTTCGACAAAACGAAACCATGCCTTGGGCCTAACGGTTTGCCTCAAACAAATGTGAATACGATATGGCCCATTCTTCCGGACTACCGTAAACAAACCACGAGACGGCAGCACACATGCATTACCATATTCAAATGTATGTATGCCCAGAGAGATTCAGTCAAATACAGTTGACCTCAACACCGGACGCACGTGCTAATCCTAATTAATTCGTTTCACACAGTGCGGCAAAAACTGGGACGAAAGATTTTTCGGGTGGGCTGGTGGAATTGTCCAGAACCGGAGGCTGAAGAACGGTAGATAATCAGGACCAGTAAAAGGCAAAGTTGGTTTTATGACCTGTGTGCTGTAATTAAATGTCCCGAACGTACTTTTCTGTGTTTCACCCTTTAAGTCAGTTGTAACGTACAGAAAATCAACTTGCGACCGAAGTAGTAATCGCTTCCAGTTAACTTCAAGCTCAATTTAGAGCCGATCTCAGTCTGTGACAGAAATGGATTACCCTTTGCTTGTCTTAATTACGGATAGGTTCTACCGACCCCTCGGCTGCACAAACCTTCTGGTTAAAACGGAAATTGTGACTGTCTATCAACACCACCTAATCACGTGACATATTTCGAGCATTTTGATTATCCGCACTAAATTAACCCATGCCGTACGCGTAATGTCCTCTGAATATTTGAATGATTCTCCCATTTGATATCACACAACACTGATGGGATGTACAGAAATATTCGCTCATTCCCGGCGTGTCTTCAGTATCCTGATTCGCTAAAACAGATTAGTTAAATGAGTGCTGCACAGCGACTTTATCCGTCAAGTCGCCTGTGTTTTAAAATCAATTCACTATTGTCTTTCCTTTCTAGAACCGAAAATTGTTCATTGTTGCTGTAAGCCTAAACAGCAACGACAAAATAGATTTAAAAGTCTTCTGCAGGATAACTACCAATTTTTCATGAAAGTTACATAACTGTGCACAGCACATAAACATTATCAAACGCAAGAATGCCCCATCAGCAGTAGATTCGTCTGGAATTCCAAATTCATGTGCCAACTACACTTTTTTGCTTTCCGTTGCGTTTTTGTTTACCTTAATCGCCAACCGAAACCGAATACCGTTGCACACAATCAAAGGCATTAACCGTCCCAATCAATGAGTGTGTTTCATGAGGTGACAATGGTTTCTTTGTACAGCGAGGATGGTATTCGTTCGCAGTACAAGATAGTAGGTCACCTGTCATCTCTGTGACAAATGAGTCACTCTATCTCGTCGGAATATGATATGATGCTGGGTTTTTCTGTTGTTGGTTACATGTGGCATGCCACGAATTACATTCTCGGCAGTATTGGGGATGCTGGGAAGAAAAGATTCATCATGTTTGGGGAGACCACCTTAAGAGTTGCTTTCATACTTGGCCCCGAACTTCTCTCCCCAAATGCTCGGTGACCGCATTTTTTATCTCTATTCCTTTAAGAAAATATCCTAACACATGGTCTGACTTTCATCCGATGTTATGGTATTCACTTGCGTTCTGGAGGTAAACATCTAACGATCTTTTATCCAAGCAGCCGCGCAACAAAACATCCTAGCACATTCGGCGTATTTGACTGCAAAAAGAATATTGTTTGCTGTAACAGAACTGACACCTGTCGCCAGCAGAAGAACAGATAAACTTACGTTGATTGTACCAGCTGGTCGTCACCTTTCGTACAAACTGAAGTCAGCCGCTTATTTTCGATTCGGTCATAGATATCATACTGAAAACAAATGAAAGGAACCCGGGGTTGAAACTAAGGAGGTTCTTGTTGAGAGACAGTTTTAAGTTGACATTTTTTTTCTGTGATGAAAAATCGACATTGCTAGCTTACTGTTCCAGAAGGAACGGCTCACAAAAGTTGGCCGTTAGCACTGTTGAACCCGCTGCCTTGCTTGGCTTACGTTTTCAGATACAGGTCACCTTCTACGGACATCACTGGTGAGTCCTCGAGAGTGTAATTAGAAAAGGTGGTTCAGAGAACTGCCTTTCAATTTCTGTGCATATGCACAAAATGGGAATCACAGTTGCTACTGCTTTCCGTCACAAAGTTGGATACATTGGTGATCGCTCGTGTAACTCCACAACTCAAGAAACAAACATTTTGCGATAGATTCAGATCCCCGTCCATCAAATGTAGACTACTAACGCACCACAGTAGGGTTGAAAAATGCTCCAATTGCTTACAAAGTTTGGTGTCTAAAGTGGTGGCTTTGCACGATGAAACTAGATAGTAGATACCCCGTGCAAGTCTCCTGTCCTGGTATAAGTTTTGACCAGGACCTAAGGAAACGAACGCAACAGACTTTTATATAGTTTCTTTACTGTTGTAATTGTAGTGTGCTCTGAAACAGTATATCCTGGAACTGATTTTATAATAACATTAAAATGCACAACTACTGGAGTAAACATTTACTGAAAGAATGTCGGCCAAATACATATTTTCTGAAACTGTAATGATCACATTAGCTTTTCTCGTTCCAATTACATCACGGCTCAAATTATGCGTCACGTAACATTTGTAATAAAAACATGCGGCTGTAGCAGAAACTAAAAACAGTTACTGATCACTTTGTACTTCCGTCGCAAAGGCCCACTATGCTTAGATTCATCCCGCTCTAACTAATCTGAAATAGTTCATTCAACACCTGCAACATTTTTCTGTGGATAAGTTTAAACTCAATCTAAAGTTACTAATCAGCTGCTTGAATCTCCAGCAGTGTAACAGACTCCATCCAGGCCACTGTGTCTTGGCACTTGTTCAAACCAGAGTTTTTAAATTGACAACACTTCCTTCAAAGCAGCTGTTTACTATAATTTCATCCTTATTACTTCAATATACGTCGATATTCGTCACTGAAAATGGCGTTTATTCATAAGCTTCGCTAACGTTTCGTCTCTTCATAGCATGAAAAATTCAGCATCGTTTTGTATCCAAAAACGGCTACTTGGTCACATGCTCTAGAGTGAGTTAAGATTCGCATTAGATTTCATGACAATTTAGCAAACATGCATGTGGGAGAAAAGCAATAATCTTGTGGATCAAAGTGTGAAGGGTTTGTTACCTCGATCTTCACAGAGAAGCGAGAATCAATGTTTTCGGTGTTCTGGTTTATGCATTGACCGTAATATCCCAACTTGATACAACCCGACGATATTTATCGATCACACATGGAAATTCTACACACAATTCCAGATCTTAAGGGAACATCCTTCGTGACTTCGACTGCTATGACGCTTTTCTTTTTTTCACACCATACCAGCAAAAAACCAAGACACCAGTATTAGATACAGCAGATCCTTCTTCTAAAGACAACACACTACTCATAGGGTTGCGGAAAACGCTTCGAATGTCCCCGACCGGTTCTGCACAGGGCTCATCAGGTAAGCACCGTCCTCTAGTTCCTTTCAAGTCTACTTGGTCTACTTGAATCCAAATTGAACAGATTTCGACAAATACTGCCCTACACCTGGCAACTTAAAATTAGGACCTTCTGCTGATTTGACTGTCAAATTCATGCGCCTTCCTGTCGGTCTCATGCTTGTGTGTCTCAAATTCAGAAATATTTTGAGCACTCATGTTATGACTCTTAAATGGGAAATTAAATGAAGACCTTATATTCGAAATGCTTTGGACGCTATTAATCAGAGTATACGCAGTCAAGTGATCGCAAAGGGCAACCAGACCCATGGCCAATTTTATTGTGCGTGCTAAAACGAGTGAAATCTCTCAAAAAAAATCGTCCCTATAATAATTCGTCGTGGAAGCTCCTCAGGGAATATTTATTCTGTAAACATCTTTACTGACTAACTGCTCATCGTTCCGACCTGTGATTGCCAACATCTCCAAAAACTGCTTGAGTTTGGTCAGTACATCTTGACGAGTGGTCACTCAGGATGAAATTCCTCCTTACTACGTAACTGCTTATTGATAAACAGGAACGGAAACCATCCGCTTGCACAACCCAAGATTGAGCATAATCTAGTGCTGTGAAATTAGCTGACGGACTTCCACTATGAGTTGCTGTGTGAATGGTTTCGTCAAGTTGTTCATCCGGATTAGAAATACTCGGGCCACCTTTTGAAAAAGCGTTTGTCTTCATCGACCCTAGTTTCATTGCACACCAATCACCGCTGTTAGAAGCGATTTTATACACAACACCATAATGTGCACCCTACCAAAAAACTTTGGGTTTAAATAAATATCCAAGTAATGAGGTTAGGAATTAATCATAATTGTCTGAGGAGAGATGTCTGGGTGAACCTTCTCACCCAAATGAATGTTTTTAATTGACCCTTGAAGATACTTTACTTGGTCAGCTTGTATTTGATACAGAAAATATAATCTCAGTCCGAAACAAAACATTCTCGTATTTTGGATTGTTCACTCACACTGCGAACTTAGAAATCCAGAACACCCTGCTGTCTCAACTGAGGCGCATTATCCAACTAATAAAAAACGGAGTGACCTGCAGAAAAGTCTTCTGGCGCCCAGTCATCCTTTTCTTTGCAACATTGATTGAAGCACGTTTGATTGACCTCGTCCACAACCACACACGATTCACGGGCGAACTCCATATTTTAGGCTGGGATATTTTGCTGCTATCTACATCCAGCAACCCAAACAATTGCTCAACCCAAACAAGAGCTCTATTGCCTGCATTCACACATTCATGACGTCATCAACATTACCAGCATACGCGGTTGCCTGACCTTGCCCGCTGTTTTCACATATGATATGCAACGCTTTTAATCTGAGTCTAAATGTTTTCGAATTAAGTATTTACTGGTCACGCCGTGGGAAGAGAGAATAGACGAAGCGCACAGCAAGACCCTAACTCCAGAGAATGTAGAAGTACGACCTCCGTAACTGCACCGTTGGTATGCCTTTGGTGAACCTATTTGACAATCAAATTACGATGAAACTGGAATTAATGCAATGTAGCCAAGCCATTTAGTTTACTTTTATGTACATACCGGTCCACATACTGTCTGTTTTTAATGCTTAACGAATATCGAGATCATGTACACTTTTATGGTTTTTATGCATAACGTGATGCGCTTTCCAATTCGTTGGACCGTATTAACTTAGCCTTAGAATCATCAGAATTACGTAACGATAAGTGCTTAGTCATTTCTAGCTTATATTGAATTTCTGATCCAGACTTTTACGCGTTTTGTTGAAAATTAGTTCAAGGAATAACTTGTTTCAAGGCAAACGTCGTGCATCGCGTCCATTTGCACCTCACATAGAAAATTACTAGATCTCCTGTAATATCGGACCTTAAAATTGTAATAGTTGTAACCGGTCCAATAAATACAATAGAAAATTTTTTAATTCGATAGTGATGACATCATTCATGCTGGAACTGGAGACAAGCCTGGTCGCAATAAGTAATATCTGGCCAATGCGTTTTAGGTTGCGCACAATTAGGGATATCGTATCCTCAGAGGCATTCTGTGTATATAACTAATCAGACAATCATTCTGACCATTCCCCAGGAGCCAGGTGATCGTTTGAATTAGTTAACAGCTGAAAAGCCAGCTGCGCACACTGGTGGCAGGCGCCCAGTCGGAAGTAAAACAAAGGTGTTTCATTTTAAAACCTACCTGGTTTACTTCAGTAAGAATGAAGGCGCCTGTGCGGCTGAGCTTTTGGGAAATTAGGCTACATATTCACAGTTGCAATAGAAACCCAAGTGAATACATGAAGTCATTCTTTTCGAAAGTGTCCCGTGAAAACGACCTTTGGTTGGTTAATGTGCCCTAACACATCATGGACATCCTCTCATGTTAATGTACTTTATACTTCTTTGTTAACAGAGTTAAAATTTACCCACCTGTGATGGCAGTCTCAAATGTTCTCCGATCGAATTCCATTCTTCGTCCATTTTGAGCCTTTCAAAAGCATTATTTTTTCTTACGGAATAGGAGAGAGAATCTGCTTTTAAACAGGGGATCCTTGAAATCCAGTGTTTTCGGAAAAGTTGGTCAAAGACTACTCACAGTCTGCTAGTGTAATGCTAAAATTTTGGAAAACACAGCATCCAGAAATACAAAACCATATACAAACTTTCTGTTTAGCAATTTTGTTATCCCCAAAATTGGCTTACAGATAACAAAGAGAATACTTGCTAATCATCTGAAAGTTGGATGTACTTTTGTAAAAACATGCATACTAGGTTAAGCAGCGAAAGGTCGCAATAAAGAACCTACCAAATCACCTTACATAACACTACCCAGACTCTTAGATGAACGATAGCACGTATTGTATGAAATGCCTAACCCAAATGTCACTACATTATTGGTTTTAGTTTCATGCTAGAAGTGGGCCGGTGTCTTCAACTAACTAAAGTTGGTGTGTAAACGCAACGCCCTGTATTTATCCTCACTCGTCAACCCCTGGTCTTTATTTCTGTTTACTTCTGTCATGGAACAATCACTTGATGAACTTTGCTACCACTTAGTTTCTCACAGTTTATCCCTTCTTTGGGCTGTTGAAGTTTGCTGGCCCTCCATAAACTTGCAATACTCCGTCCATCTAGGGCTACCCTGAGGGCTTAAAGCATAAGCTGTCTAAAGAAGTGCATGGAACCTTATACTATCCTGATGGATCAACTTTGCTTCCACTCTACTCATAGTATGCTTTTTCTCCGGGAGATTAATGAGTTAACAGTACAAGATACTAAGTGACCACAGTAGATCAGCTACCATACATATATTTAGAAGCACCCAAGACATTCGTCGTGAACGTTTCTGGATCATTTCAGCCACAGCAATACTCCTAATAATGAACAACCCGGAGATCCGCATCGACCCAACCCACAAAATGTTCACAGTGAAGTTACTGTGAGGTGTAATCTAAGTTGTACAGCTGTTCCCTGTTATTGGTGGCCCTAATACTGAATTTCTATAACATCACACAGTATTTCGTGGAAGGAATTAATAATCTCAGGTGTCTGTCTTGTAGTGCGTTTCACAAAATTCCAAGCGAATGCTTCGGATTTGGTTTTCTCAGTTCATCTTCCATCTGCCGGTTTATAGTATTAGTCGCATATACTTACCCGAGGACTTAAGAACAAATCGTGTAGTCACTATGATCCATAGAGTGCAGTGGCTTCCTGTAAAGATTCAGATATTTCTTATACCTTCAATTTAAGGGGCACGTGCGCTATTGTTGCCAAGAAAACGTCACATAAGCAAACAAAATCCACTAGAAGGTTATGCCGGGGTCCGGTATGTTGTTTGTTTACGAACTTCCACTCCAGAAAAATGTGGTACAAGGGCAGCAGTTCCCTTAAAGGTTAGGTTCTTATAAGATCGAGTGAAAGAGATCCTCTGTTGGTTCTACACTGTAGAGCTTTGTACTATGTGTTGGTTTTGATAAAAGCATCTTATTGGGAATGTTGGTTTACATATCGTGCTTTGGTAATCAATGCGCGCTGATATAAAAGAAAAGGTTACTGAAAAACCTACCATGTACGGCAAAAACGATATCATCTTTTGATGTTGCTGGTGATAGTCCAGTGATTAGGGCACAAGCTTACTTACAAAACACTGGCTCTGTCTCTGTGCCTGGGCAGTGTGGCAGCACTTCAGCCATCGTGCTTCCTTTGGGTGGCGTAGCAGCAAAGAACTCGAAAAGGTGTTGCAACTGAACGATTAGTGGATATCAGTGTGATTATCGCTTGATGTCTTAGCGGTAAACCTATGAAGCTGTTTAACCTTGTACGCTTTTGAATTGTTTTCCATATCCAGCTGGTAACCTTTATAGGTGAAAACATTTCCAAAATCGGAAGCATAATTTCTTTGAAATGTTCCGTTATCCTTCTACTTAAGTTTCCTGTATGTGGCACCTTACCGTCTGCGGAAGTGGTGGTCAATCTTTCTGAAAGTGATGTACAGAGCGTTCATGTCTCCTTTTTGATATTTTATGCTCCGTATTTTCAAAACCGTATAAAACATAACTTGCTGTTTGAATCACCCCATGTTGAAACCAAGAAATAGGTAAATGCGGACGGGTCCAATGATAAAAATGTAGTTGCGTAATGTACATTATATATGATTGACCATGTACAGTCATTAAGCTGTGTAGCACTTGTAAACTGCTCTTTTTCATGCTCAGTATCATATTTTTTCTCATCATTATCAGTCACATCGCTGTACAAATGTTTGTTTTACTAAAATACAGCCGCTACCGCCCGCTTGTTGGCTCCAACGTGACTTTGAGACTTTTGCTAAGTGACTGTTGTTGTGACCGCCGGTTGGCTATATTTGACCGCTGCTAACACTAAACGTGAACAAACATTTTAGCTACAAACACTGGACTAGTATATTCGCACTTGTGGATTAATGTTACAATCACCGGAGATCTGGAATACCAGGAAGATAGAACTATTCTTGGTGTGGTGGTTTAACGGAATACGGAACTACGGAATCTCCCATTTTGAACTGTGAGTCATGATTCACTTGTATTTTTCTCCTTGAGACTTTGTATCTGGCTTACATTAGTAATTTGCTCTCTTCACTAGAGACTCCATAGGGCCGTTAACCACTACAACTGCATGATACTATCTGTGTATTAGTTGACTGAATATACCGATCTGTGTACCAATTTGTTCTACTTCTGTAGCGAATAAACAGTTTACTCGGAGTGCCTTATTGTATTTGTCCTTGACTGAATTCTTCTAACTTAGCCAGTTCACATTATGCATATACTTTGTTCCTTCTACCGAGTGACTCCTACGGTTGATACTATAAATTGGTGTAGCCATGCATGCACTTACCAATGAATTCAAGAGGCAGGTCTCTACCAGCCTCAACTTGAAGCTTTGTTTGTCCAATGGGTTTATTGGTCAAACTATCAATGTCATCTTCAACCATATTTGTGAAAAACAAAAACATGTGTCCCAGAGCATTGAATCCAGAAAGGACATCAAAAGTCGCCAAGTCAATATCTTTGACATCTTTGTCATCCTGGTTGGTTATTCTTTCAAGGCGCTTCAGAGAGAGCAGTTTGTGTGTAGCACAAAAAGGATACTGCTGGTCAAGATACAACTTAAAATATACAAGCGTGGTATTTTCGAACGGTGAGTCTTGTGCTTGTTCCTGAGGCCATTAAAGCTCCGCACTCGTCTGTATAAAAACAAATAGCGTATCATCACGTTTTCTCCGACAGTTTTTTTAAAGACATGCTTTCCTTATTGCACAGATAGTGTATGAAAGAAAATCAAGCAGTTTAGCTCCGTCAGATTAAAAGTTGTGCGATGTTTGTTTGCGTCGAATCAACCCACTTTACATCTGGGCTCTGGCAGGCGTCTTGCGGAGGCCATTCTGATAGATAAGATCACGCTGTCAGCTATTGACGGGCCATTCAGTATTTTAAGGTCTCTGTACACTTCGCCACTAATTTTATTACACAATTGCTCGTGGTTTGCGCGTTGTTCACATCAATAGCGGTCACACAATCAAATCTACTACTTGGTTTGCTTAAACTTGAGCCATCTTTTCAATTGATTTTATTACCTCTTAGGCATAACATATTTTACGCTCTAACTTATCTGCTAGACGGGATCTCTAATACAAGGTTATATGCTGAACTAATTCTTCTGCGGTTCGTGTTTTGTATGCTGGGTTTCATGCCGTGCAGTCAGCTACGTCCATGTGGGTTTGTGGGCACTAGAACTCGTCTGAACCCGTTTTTATCTGGTCCAAAGAAGTGCTTTGGTTGATAATGAAGCATAAAAAGTTTGAATGGTGCAGCACAGGCCTCCCTATACTTAGATTCCTCAAATACTAATCAAGTGACAGGGGCTAAAGTGTTATATGTTGTTGCATAGTACACAGTCGCCAGTTCTACGTGTGGCATCCAAGCATCCCGCACATCAATTAGCAGACATGAGGTTTTGATAGGCTCATTTTATCTACTCTGAACATTAGCTGTAATTTAGCTGTCATTATACTGAGACTCTGACCGACAAAATCAAGCTTACGAAATTCTGGATCAAGATGTATCAGTTTTATGGGTACCTACTTGCAGAGACCCCAAACGCAGATAATGGATAGCATTTTACTTGGTTATATCAAGATACATCACACTCCATCAGCCGGTTTGAGCACCTTTAAGAATGTGAACGAGCTGTTTCTCAATTTAACTCCAGTTGTGACGGATACAGTGCAAAGCTCTCTCGCAGTTGAAAAGTCTCATAGAAAGGCAACCCAAATGTTACATAGCTGTTTCCTAAAGTAACCTGCATAAAGTGAAATTTTTTTACGGCGGATACTTAAAAAAATGCAAGGATGCCAGTCCTGTGTGAGGGCCTTCGGCGGAAACCTGGATAGATTGTTTTGTTATACTTTCTGACGTACTCTAAGTCAGTGACGAAAGTCAGTTCCAGTATATATTAGTTAATCTTCCGCGTTTTCTGGATTCTTTGTTGAACTCTACGTTCCTTCACAAAAAACAACACAGAAGATCTTGGCTTGCTCCTGATATCAAGATAACCAGTTAATATGTCGGTTTCTTTATCATATCCAAGAGATCTCGCATGCTAAGTAAGCTAACTCTCGCTTCATCATCTTCATGAGCAGTTTATGCATTGCACTTTTTTATAAATCCCAAGTGCATGGATTGTATCTTAACTTACAACTAAGAGTGGTATCTTTCTAGTAGACTAGTACATCATTTTTTAAAATCGAAATGGTTGCCTCCTTGTATTAGGCACAGATTAAAGTACCCATACCCCTGATTTCCTCGTGTTAATTAGATTGCTCTTAATAAATAAATCCCGAATGTTTCAGTTTTATACAAAACCTCAATGTACATACAATGGCTCTAAACTAGGGAAAGTTAGTGTGCGATTCGTTTAACGAGGTCTAGTTACGTATATCAACACCAGATAGGTAGATTTCTGCCTGACTGTACCGACAATACAAGTACTCATGACCACTCGACCAAATTATTTAGCTTAGCAAGCAAATCGTCGGTTATGATTACAACCTGGGCTACCAATATTATCTTTCTATATCTGCAATTTGCTTGAGTTTAGGCCTGAATGATTGTTTGGACAGTGGAAATGTTGACAAAACTCTGGGACTCAACGTCGTCAGGAAAAGCCTTGCGCAATAATCTGGGGAAGACGCTGAAAATAAATAAAAATAAAAATCCTCCTTAAACCGTCCAGTGGTTGATAGTATAATTGTATTAGTATATTAGTAGTAGTGTAGTAGTATAGCAACCCATCCAAATTTAAGGGGTGGGTTCCTGTACTGCAGTGCTCCAACCAACCGTTCCAGTTCCATATTGGTGAGGGTGGAAGACAGTCGGTCTCTGTTAGCTTTGCCCAAGTTCAGCACTGCACCTGATTTCTTCAGATCAATTAAAAAGTGGTAGGTGTCCAATCACGTGTCAAACCACTACTCTGAGTTACAGGGTCACAACACAGGTGAATCAATTTTTCCTGCGTAGATCTCTGAATCGTGAAATCCTCAGTGACATATATCTGATATTCATACTTGAGATGATATCAGTATTATGATTCTCAAATTTATTCCAGTCAGTCTAGAGTTGTCGACACTTAACCTCCTTTACTGGCAGTCAAAGTTGTTCCTAAACACTCTGGAGCTTTGAAGTGTCCTAAGAGTTGCTGCTCGTACCCGGACTACTATTGTTCATCGTTTTACATTTTTGTTGACCTATCACGAAAGCCAAGTAGTTTGCGTTTATTGTGCAATGAAGCTAATAAATGCACATTGTAAATAGTCTGGGTTCTATGACAAATGCACTTAGCGCACCTCCGCTGAATTTGCAGTGTTCACTCACTGCTCAATTTACTCCAAATCTAAAGAAGCGATCCAGAAAAAAGTTCATAATTCATTTCACGACAGAAACACAAATGGAGAGCTATGAATGTGTTTTACTAAACGTGCGCGTTTTGCCTGATAAAACGCAACCTTATGAGTAGTACATTACAAATATACGTGTATCGCGATATTTCAAATATCGTAGCGACTGAAACATGAGGCGGCCTGGTGCGGCACATTCAGTTGCCTGAGAACATCATAAACAGGAGATTCAGCTGGGTTCCAGGTGAGTCTCTTGAAAGAACCAAATTAGTTTGCAGATGAGTGTATATTCGCTAAGGATCGTTCTGTTCTTTAAGTGAGCTGTAATTGGTTTTTCAGTAATGTTTATCTTATCTGTGGTGCCTAGGGAGCAGGTCAATCTTATATGAGCCTGATATGTGTGAATAAGAATGGTTTAAGGTCCTCAAGCGAATTCTCTCATAAAATTTCCCAGCTGTATGATCTCTAGAAATGCATCGCCGTTTTTCTCAACTTGTAAGTTGCACGGATATGTTGTATCAAAAGAGCTGGCATGAAAGGATCTTATACAGATAACAGAATGTTGCTACAGGCGTTTGCAAGAAAATATATTTAGTTGCTGGTCCTCCTTGCCCGCTTATTGACGCTGATAGTTGTCTAAGGTTGGCACATTTGGATGGCAACAGGCCTCATTCTTGAGTGATTGCCTTGGTGATTTTATCATAGAGAAGATACTGAGCATTCGGGTGCATCAAATTAGAACCCTTTTTTAAAATCTCTAAGAGACATGCGGGATTCCTGGACATAAACATCAAGTATTCAAGTATGTCGCTGGCAAGGAGATTACATAATGAAAATCTCAATGAAGCTCCATGAGGTGCGCTAGTGGACGCTTTGAAAACCACGTTTAATACCCCTTTGACTCGCATTTGGGATGTAGGGTGGTTTTGGCGTCTTTTCAATGAGTTAGTGGCCCAACTGTTGCTCGTTTGGATTGTTGGGTATTCAGACAAGGTGGGTTGAGTAAAAAGCCCCGAAGAACTCTATAGACCGGGAGGTATATCTCAGCCGAGGCGGTCAATGTCTCAATGGCTATCGCTTTAATGGAGTTATTGCCATTTGCAAGGATACAGCTGGATTGGTTATCATACCGGGTGCCAAAGTTATTGCCTTATCTAGTCCCTGGAGATACAGGTGGTAGGAGTTTGCTTGGTGGTCTTTCGTGGATAACCTTGTCCATCAGCCTTGTAAGTGTGAGCAAATCCTTCTGGCTCCAGACGTTAGGAAAATTTAAGCATGCTTATGAGTGATTATAATGCTTGTATATGTGAGTCATTTGTTTGTTAACGCGAAATAAAGAAAAATTATAGGCGAAGGAGCAAGATTTTCCAGGAACGCTATAGCAGAATATGTTGCACATATTGCCGCTGAATCTCCACCCATGATTCTTGCATGGGATTTGTCCCGTGGAATGGCTAAACTTCTTCGGCTCCTTGATTTGGCATATCTCTAGTAGTGAGCGTTGTATATTACAAGCAGGCATTTTGTTGCTTCCACAATGCTTTCCTGAACCACTTGCTCATGAGATTGTTCCGGTTCACCGTTATATCTCTAAATGCTATAGACACAAGTTATTCTGCTCTGTTGCTGCAATTTGGGCTTGTACTTGTAACTTCTCGTGTGTAACCTGGGTTACGGGTAATAAGGTGAATAAGTTGAGTAAGGCTAAGATGAATTTCTTAGCAACCCTCCTGTTCTGTCACAATGAAAACGAGAACCGATCCTCATCCACAATGCCTCGTAAGCGGGTGTGAGGTGAAAATTATGGCTTTTTTGCTCGCGTGCTTTCTCTGATTTCCCCTCAAAATTTGTTTCTCCGACCACTGCATAGCTCTTTAAGTCTTTGATACACGGGTACCACCTTTCGCACGAATCAAGTCAATGACACGTTTAGCATTCAAACAGACATCTTGTGCTGTTTGAAAGCGCCCAAAGAATGTTGAATACTTTAACTTGTGCTAGCGTAACATGAGGCTGTGATTTGGGGTTGCGTCGGGTCTACATCGCTGTGTGGAATCGCCTGATTTACTACAGCAACCAGCTCTCCGTATTAATGACCACAATTTCCTATCTCAGATTTCTGTAGTTCCTGGATTAGTATAGCATGTTACAAACAATCTAACGCGTTGCTTAACTGTGCAATTACTGAGCAGATTTTCTTGTTGGTGTCCCTTGGCATCACACCGACCCTTCCGCGCTGCTGGCAGGCTTGATGCAAGGTCATC